TATAAATATACATTGAATTTATTCGTAATTTAAAAACATGTTTGCAGCAATACGGAAAATATAATGTTTCGATGATTCTAAATATTTACATGCATGCAAAGACATAAATTTTTCTAATGGAAGAGAAGGTTTCCTCGACGACCCGTTGAAGATTGATGAGGTGATACCGTGATAGGGAAAGTGAGGCTTTTGCGTTAAGGCCAGTAGGCAAATAACACATATGAGGTGGTAGATTCCTTGGGGTGACTGACGGTGATTGAGTCATTTGAAAGTTAATAAGAGTCTTAACTTCGTTTGAAACTTAAGTAGTTGTGAAAAATATATATATGCTCGGCCTCGGCATCCAAGGGAGTCACCAAGGTACTCAATTGAAACTTAGGAGTCGGAACTTCAGCGATCGATGAGAGATGTTATGACAAACAGATATAACATACAGTCATCTGCTCACTTATTTGACGGTTTCAATTACATTAGGTCGTTCGAATGTCAACAATTCCGTTGTGGCCGAATTTTGTTTATGCTCGCTGGTAGATATAGAAAGACAGCATGACACTGAAGAATACCAATGATATCAATTTTATAGACTTTGGTGTTTTTTTCTTTATGATATTTTTATATAATTGGTGAAACCAAGAATATGTTCGATCATTAATATAGAAACGCTTTTGATAGTGAATCGTATTATTTGATTCAATATCGCATAGATAATAAATCTATAAAAATTAATGATAATCACTCGATGGGTTATTCGATGAAATATACATTCATCTCTATAGGACAATTAAATATCCTAATATACTAAATTGTGGTAGTTAATTCTTTTGCTCTGGTTACAGTATATTTTGTTCTTTTAATATTGATTATTTAATAGGCATACCGCATATCTAAGAACATGTTTATTGGGGGGTTTTCCATTTTTAGGCTCGAATACATATGCAAATATGATTAAAAATAAATATAAAAAAGTTCAAAGACTCGGATCTTCAGGATTCCAGGTTCGTCCAAGTACAAAATATCATTGGGCAAAAATGTTTTTTTAATTTTTGAATTAGAAAAAAAAAAAGAAAAAAAGAAATTAATATCTGAAGAATTCTTTAAGAGGGGTTCACCAGACATGGCGTAAGGATGAAAAATACCTGCCCGCAACGAAATTTTTTTATATTATGTTCATGAAAATGGTCAATCAATTAACAGAGAACTTATCTTTGACCAGTCATGCGGACGAAAGCAGTTAGGCCCTCAGCAAATAAAGACACGTGGCATAAACCCACTTGCCACTCATCACCTGAGAAAAGCGCTCTTCGACCATGTGATTGACAACCATGTCCTTTGACTGCACGATACCAAATTTTTTTTTTTTTCTTATATATCTTTTCTTATCAATGTTTTTGTTGTTAAACAAGATTTTCAGCAGTATTAATTTCGATATTTGTCATATTCCATACAGGCTTCCAATATTTAATATAATCCAGACCCAAACCGAAGCTTTTAACCAGATGGTTTGGAAAATTAAACCCAATGCATTAGACCGTCCAAGGCAATAAATAGATAAATAACGCTTTCACAGCAATATGTTGCTGTTAGGGTAAAAACAAAGAAAAACAGAGGTAGAAGCTACATCATAACGCAAAGTTAATAATAATATAGTATAATGCTCAGGGGTGGATTTAGAGGACTTTCTTTACTAGTTGCCAATACCTTTTTTACTAGTTGCAAAACTAATAAAAAATTAAAAGAATTCAAAGTAGAAATTCAAATTTGAGATATTAGGGGATGAATGCTGACTTTAGCCATCTAACCTAACATAGTTTTGTGATTTTATACACTAAATTTTGAACATTAATATTTTTTTAAGGGTGCATGTGCCTCTATAATTAGTACCTTACATTCGCCCCTGATAATGTCATCAGATAAGAAACTAAACAAGGGGAGAAAAAAGAAGCTTCGTGCATGTCCATGTGATATTTTAACCTATATATATATATATATATATATAATAGAAGGCCTGTGGAAAAGGCAATGATTAATATGTAATTTCGCACTAAGTAAACCAAGGTACGATGATTAATACCTTACATTCACGTCAGCAAATAGCGAAATTGAAACGTGAAAGAGAGAACAATATTTGCTCAGTTTGATCTCTCTTTACGTGTACTTAACTTACATGTAACTATACATACTCACATGTAACTTTTACCCAACAAAATGTCAAAAACTTACATGTAAATATATATATATATATAATATAATATATATGTTAATTATTAATAAGTATTTGAGTGTAACAGAAGAAGCACGTGGGGTCAGGGATAGGGTCGGCATCGCCAGCTAATAGCCCTCTTTTCACTATTGAGTCAAACCACAGTCAATGCGAGAGATTATGTTTCATATTTTTTAAAACATTATTAGTGTTTCATATTCAACGGAAAATATTATTTTAATGATGTGTTTCTTTTAATAAAACTTCTTAGGATTCAAGATTTGCTGAAAATGTTGAAAATTTTAATACTTCTCGTAGATAAACAATGTAAAAGAAAGTTTTTTTTCAAATCTTCGGTCGAATTTATTATTGCACGACAACATCTAAGAGGTGAGACACTCTGGCTGTTCCAGAGGCTCGTTAATCATTTTTTTTAATAAAAAATTAAGAAATTTGTATAAAAGAGAGTGACGTAGCTTTCAAAGGCACCTCCGTGGAAGAGATGCCATCTCTCCAAATCTGGCTACTATGACACTTTCCTTTTATATCTTTTCCCACTCATCTCTTTCCATTTTTTATTAGTTTTTACTTTTGATCAATTATTCAAATTTGAATTTTGGACCCACGACTATTTTTATTTATGCTATTGATATTTTGCTGAAGCTGCAAGCCCTAGAAAAGAAAAGTACACAAGGAGAAGGAGGGATCTTTTCATTTACACCAGTAGGGAAAAAAATGAAAGTAAATGCAGGTTGACCAATATTTTTCGTAGTTAATAACCTGTCACATAATCCTCATTAAATAGGTTCCTTTCCTTTTGAAAAATAAAATACAATATAATATAATTAGAGTAAATACTATATTGAGTTATCTTAAGGAAGCCTCCCGGAATCATCCTACATCACCTAAAATAAATCAGCCACAGAAACTTCATTCTATCTGATTTGTTAATTCGACGACAACTCTACAATTATATTTTTTCACTTATCTACGCGTACGTGTGTATTTGTCGTTTCCAAAGTAAGAAAGTGGTTAAACCAGAGAGACTCCTCGAAACTTCTAAACCGTGGTCTTCTTTTCTAAACATTAATGTTCTATTCTCCTATACTCATGATATACCATTATTCATATAATCGACCAAACACACAGAATACTGAAAAAAATATTTTCACACAGAATGGATATATTTATTCATTTGTGCTAGTGAACTACATATACTATTATTCATATAAGTGAGTGTAAAAAGGAAAGTTATATATATTTGAATATTTGATAATAGGATCAAAGTTATACATGAAAAGAAACAGTTCCATGTGTTTTTAATTCTGTGTCGGAGCGTGTCTCAGCAGAAATTCTTGGGCCTAATTTTGTCAAAATTCGAATAGCCAAACAGGTAATTGACACGTGTATAATACATCACCAGCCCAAGTAATTATTTTTCATGTACTGTACAGATTGGTTTGATGATATAATTTTAATATTTATCCAAACAGTAAAATACATACCAAACAACATATACATATATATATATATTCAATGAATATTTTCCGTACTCCTAACAATAACAACTAAACACTTAAAATTCCTTTGTTATTTCCTAGCGCTCAAATTTAAGAATTCCTCCTTTTCTTTTTGATAATTTTTTTATTTTATTTAATTTTACTGTTTAGGTTATTATGGCTTCATCATTGATCCATTGTGCATAAGAACTATTGAGTATTGGGTACTATATAATACTGCACAAGGCTTCTCAATGCAACTGTGCAATTGACTGTCCCTACCAAAATTAATTCTCTCTCACTTTCTCTCTCTCTTTATTTCTCTTCCCAGAATAATCTCTAGAGTGAGTTTATAATTCGACACAAACGAGCTCTGTCTGAAATGGCATGCTTAGAAATGTACAACTCTAATGGTGGTGGTGGTGGTTGTGGTAGTCCCATGAGTCCAAGAATTTCTTTCTCGAATGATTTCGTTGAGATTAGGCCTGAGACGACAAAGACGACGAGATCAAGCCCTCTCTCCAAGCCAGAAGGTTCTTCCTCAGCTTCTGATAACTTCGAGTTCTCTGTCTCCAACTACACAATGATGCCTGCTGATGAACTTTTCTCTAAAGGAAAGCTTTTGCCTTTCAAGGAGACTAATCAAGCTCAAAGAACATTGAGAGAAGAGCTTCTCGTTGATGAAGAAGAGGAAGAAAGTCCTCGTGATGCTACCAACATCTTCTCTCTCAAGCCACCGATGTTCTCGTCTTCTTCTTCTTCTTCCTCTAAGGGCAGGTGGAAAGGGCTTTTGGGCCTCAAGAGAGCTCATGTTGGGTCTAAGAATAACGAAGAACGATTTGTTCATATGATCAACAACAAACAATCTCAGGTATTATTACTCTCTCGTCTGGTTTTTCGTCAAGACTTCCATCTTTTCTGCTATGTATTGATGAAAGTTGTGTAATTTGCTATTTTATAAAAAAATATTTTTGGTTTTAGCTATTTTTCTTAAAATTGGTTAATATAAATGTATAATACTTTTTTCCTTCAAAATTTTTGATTTTCAGGAAGCAATGGGAGGAAGAGAAGGGTCAAGTTGCAGGGACATGAAGAAGAGTATGTAGAGCTAAAAAAAAAAGCTTTCACTTTGTTTTTATTTAGCTAGGAACATGGTTGCTTCCAAATTTTTAATATCTTAGATTTATGTTAATCTTAGATCTGAAAAGTTATTTAACAAAAAAAAAAAAAAAAGAATCAGGCTCTTATATATGTGTTGTTGACGGAGTTGGTTTATTTCATCAACTATTCATGTTTCACCGATCGGTCTTGTGAGATATTCTTTTTCGAAGGGTGAGGAATAGATCTGTCTTTGGATGGAAGAAGTTTGTTTGGCTGTACAAAAGAAAAAGAAAAAAACAAGAGTGTGTGACTGTGTGAGTAGTTCAGAAAATTTAATTTCCAGTTTTTAAAATTGAAGTAACGCATATGTCTTCTGTCTTTATAGATATCTCTTGTCTGTCGATTTGTTATTAGTTATCACCATTCAACTCCAACTTCTCTCTCGGTGACTACATTATCTACTGATTAATGCATCAGAGACTCAGAAATAAGTCAAGTATAATATTTATGCAGCGTGTAAATACTAAATACAGTGCATGGCGCGGTGACGGATGGTTAAAATTGTTTTTCTTAGCCACCATGTAATAAAATAGACCTACTAAAGAATTTTGATTTATGGTGGGTTACATTAATTAAAGTGAAAAAAATCTATACTTTACCGGCAGAGTAGACAATACGAGATATATGTTATTAACAAATAATTGGTTACAGAATATCAATGCCTACAAGATTAGAACATTTAAATTTATGTAGGACATAATGTCCTCAAAATACCAAATTTATGTTTTATTTTTCAAAATTACCAGAAAATTTCAGTTTGTTTTTTTTTTACGACTGAATTTCAATAATATACCAAAGTACAAAGAAAAATACAAAGCTTTGTAAGTGTTCGTAAATCATCTAGTACTACTTCTTCAACATCATATTATCTGTGCTAACAGATCATTAAATTTTTTTTATTTTATTTTTATACGAGCTTATCTGAATACGAATCGTGTATATGTATATAACATGTATTGGTTGAACCTTCAAATTGTAAACTGATGACAAATCCGATACATCCAACAGCTGTCAATATTTTAATACCAAAACTTCAATACCAGAACTATTTTGACTTTATTTTGATCCGTTAATAAAAATTCTATTTTTCAAGATAAAAAATCGCGATGGGCGCTTGCGCTTCTATCGAAACAGTACGTTGCCATTATCAATTTGACTTGCTATACACTTGCTCGTGATAACATACATCTAATCTAAAGTAATCGCACTAAACTTACGAGTCACGCAAGCCGGAATGTCTACAGTTAGACATGTATTCTCAAATTCCATGGACAATTGCTTAGTTTTCGAATGAATATTATTCAATAACAATCAAAATTCGATCTCAACAACTGATAAGAAGTTGGGCTTTATTAAGCCCAAGTAAAATAATGACCCTCCGTATAATTTCACCGCCGGTTATCTACGTAATGACAATCTCTTTAGATGCCACGTGGCATTTCTTTGTGGGTTGATAAATTTTTGGTTGTGTGTGTTTTTAACATTGTAACCCTCACGATGATGAATTTGCTTCTTCACTTGTCGATCCTTCTTCTGGTAACGAAAAATTCAATCACCGATCCCCACACGCAGTTATTCTGATATCGCCGGCCGATTTTCTTCGCCGACAGGAGAAAGATTGAGGTAGAAGAGAAAACCGAGGGAATAGGAAAAAAAGCAAGGATGGACTCTACACCGGTGAATTGGGAAGCGCTTGATGCTCTGATCATCGACTTCGTTAGCTCTGAAAACCTGGTGGTTGAAGAAGACACCTGCGCGAATTCATCTCAATCTCCACTATCGTCTCCTTCCTCTCCTTCTATTTCCTCTTCGTCTTATCACGCTAGATTGATCATCCGCCGGATCCGAAACTCGATTGAATCCGGTGACATTGAGGCCGCCATGGATATCATTCGCTCTAACGCTCCTTTTGTATTGGATGATCATCGGATTCTATTTCGTCTGCAGAAACAGGTGAATATTCTTCTGCCAAAACTGCAGCCGATTAGGATAGGATAAATCTGTTTATGCTTTCTTAGGGCTGCTGGAATATTTTTTTTTGATTTGGGGCATCGATTTTAGGGATAGTCACAACCTCCATTGGAATGTTTTGTTTTTTCTCATATTGTTCTCTTTGTTTCTGTGAAGAAATTTATTGAGCTGTTGAGAAAAGGAACACATGAAGACCGTGTTGCTGCAATTAATTGCCTAAGGACCTCTGTTGCTCCCTGTGCTCTTGATGCCTACCCGGTATTCAAATATCACGTCTCTCTTTTTTTTTTTTTTTTTATGTAACATGGTACACTTATCTACTATTTCATGTTTAGTTAGATCCTTTGCTCTGTTTGTGTAATTTTTTGGCTCCACGTTTTTTGCCATTAAAGCGTATAGGTAATATAAAATCAACCTTCTTGTTTATCTATCCTGCTGGGTTTTCTCTCTTTTTAAGAGATGGTTTTGCACTCGTTTCTGAGTTATCAATACGTCACTGGCTGGTTCTCAGCCTATGAAGTTCTGACCTCTGCATATGTATACCTCTTAAGGAAGCTTACGAGGAATTCAAGCATGTCCTTCTTGCACTTATTTATGATAAAAATGATCAAACCTCTCCAGTTGCAAACGAGGTATGTCACATTCCTGCAGTTTTCTTTCTCTTACGATTTTCTTTAATCTTTCTTGCGGACACAGAACGTCCTATCTTTTGAACTGCTGCTAAATGGCATCCAGAATTTCTATTTTGGTTTATAACGAATGCGCTTTCTGTTTTACAGTGGGCAGAGAAAAGAAGGTATGAAATGGCTGGGCTGATGTCATCTGTCTTGAGAGCTTCTTTACAAGCATATGATCCAGTATTTTCAATGACACTTAGATATCTGATAAGGTAAGGCTATTTTCCTTTTCAGCACTGTTATTATCGGTTTTGTTCTTTTTGGTTTACTCTGCTTAGCCCTTATTTCTACATTTACCAGCATACATAAAGGATTTTGCTTTCACCAAGGGATTTCCTCCGCAGTTTCTGATCTCACCCATAGATTGCTCCTGGAGGAACGTGACCCACCGGCCACTCCTCCGGAAAGCATGTATGAAGCACCACCGTTTGATGAGGTAACGTGGCTTCTTGTTCTTGGTCATCTTGTGATTATATCTGGAACACGCATTATACTAGTTTTTAATATTAAATTTCAGGTGGACATACAAGCCCTTGCTCATGCGGTTGAACTCACTAGACAAGGTGCTGTTGATAGCATGAAATTTGCCAAAGGTGACCTTTTCCAGGCATTCCAGGTTTCAAATTCTCCGTCCTGCATTGCTTAGCATTTCTAAATACTAATTCTGCTTTATTCTCAATTCTCATCACTCTTCACCATCTCTAAGCTGTGTTAAATGGGATCTCTTGCGATGACTCTGGTTGGCGTTTAATTTGTATACATTTTATCCATCTGCATTGCAGCCTAATTCTTGCTTGTACTTATTGCAGAATGAATTGTGCAGGATGCAATTAGATGTTTCGGTTCTTGATGAACTTGTTAAGGAGTATTGCATATACAGGGGTATTGTGGATTCAGGTTGGTGATCAACCCCTAGGCAGTTTCAAGATCTTTTTTTTTTTTTTCATTATTCTACCTCTTTTTCTTGTTTGGCTTTTATGGAATCCTGATCGTTTTTAATCTTCAATCAGAGATGCAAATGATCACAGGTGCTGCCAAACGCAGCCAATCGGAGGTGGGTCACAGGTTATCAAGGGATTGTTCTTCTGAGATAGATCTCAACACAAGTCAACATTCAGATGTTGAGAACTATAGCAGCAACAGCATGCTTAATGGTGCGCTCGTAAATGACACTGAAATGTCTAGCAAACAAGGAGGTGACGTTGACACACGTTATGGCAGTGAACGTACCAGCGGTTGTGAAGATTGCAGCACTAGCTGGTCAAACCATTGTGAAACGACAAGAGCTCTCGCTAGGATTAGATCGCATATGAATTTTGAGAGGAATAAACGCAAAAGATGGCGAGGGAGAGCTGATGAAATGGATTGTCTTCCTGATCTTTCATTTCCAAAGTCTGAGTCAGGCATAAACCCTATAGATGACAAGTATGAGATAGCCTTGGCAGTGAAGGAATTGGTTAGCAGAGGAATGGCAGCAGAAGCTGCTAACGAAATCAGCACCATGGATCCAGATTTTTTCACACAGAATCCGGGTTTACATTTCCACCTTAAGCAGGTAAGGGTTCTAAAGCTCCCTATATATTCCCCAAAGAGAAAATGCGTTCTTTTTGATCGGTAACGGAAGATAAAACTTTTTTGTGCAGGTTGAATTTCTAAAGCTGGTGAGCGCTGGCGATCACAATGGAGCCCTAAAGGTCGCGTGCTCTCACTTAGGTCCCTTAGCCGCCAGTGACCAGTATTTACTGAAGACATTGAAGGAGACACTGTTAGTTTTACTCCAACCCGACGGAAATACACATGGGAATGATTTGCCTTTGAATGATCTCGCAAATTCGCTGCAGGTAACAAATGTGTTTAGTTTTGATGTCCTCTTCTGGTTTTGTCTGATGAAAGCTCAACAAACAAATGGTGCATGTTTCTGCCGTTTTTTTTTTAAGGTTTCTGTCGGTAATAGGCTTGGGATAAAAGAACCGCAGCTTATGAAAATAATAAAAGCGACGGTTCACACGCATACCGAGTGGTTCAAGCTGCAGATGTGCAAAGACCGGTTCAGTAAACTCCTCAAGATAGATTCTTTGAAAGAAATGAACACTGATTTGGTCGGTGCTATCAAATCAAGATCAAACAAAGATAGCAACGCAAACTTTTCGTCTCAAGTGACGACGACGTCCTCGAGCACCATGACCTCCGAAGATGGTGGTAGCAGCAGCTTGATGATGATGACTCAGACTTCGTCAAGAGAAGCTTTGTGGGAAGAAAGTGCAATTCTTAAAGTAATGGTACGATTTCTTCAATATCCTTGTGACTTTTGGGATCATTTTTCGCATTTTTCGATTTTTGCTTATTAATATAGTCACAAGAGATGGTTTCAGGAATTTCTGGCGTTGCCGAGGTCTGACGCAATTCAACTTCTATCACAATACAATGGAAACGCTGAGGCTGTGATTCAGCAACTCTTTGGTTAGAACCAATCCTGACTAAACCGAACAGAACGCAAGTTGTTTTAATTTATTTAAATTTGGATGAGTTTCCATTGGTTATTTTCATTCATTCTGCATTTGCTGTATGTACACTACTTTAAAGTTTACACATACACTTGTGAAAAAAAAAACAATATGCGGACGGTATGGGCCTTAGTGAAAGGAAAATAGCAATAAATAGTGAATTGGCTTCAGTGACAGTTGCTAGGGTTTTGATTTCGGAGTCGGACGAACTTTAAGGCTGTAAAGCTAAAGCTTCTGGTCTGTGTTTTTTTTTTTATATATGAGATCTTTGATTCTTTTTTGTTTCCCACACATAACTTTTTTTAAAAAAAATTATTCATTTGATCAATATGGTTATGTCTTCCGCTTACACTTGCCAGTAGTCTATTTCTTATTCTTGAAATCTTTATATATACTAAAATATAAATTGTGTTCAAATATTATTAAAATTTTTGATTCCACTGATTGCATGTTTTTCGTGCACCAATCATTGTATTTTTAAAAGAATATAATAGCATTCGACCTACTTCGTAAGAATACTAGTAAACAGAACCGACTTAAATTTTAACAAACATAAAAAATCGACTTTAATTCATTTGTTTATTTGCAATAATTAAACACGTATAGTCTCTATATAAATACCCTCATAGAAGCAAGTGTTACTTCACACCACCACTCTCAAATATTCTTGGAGTCTCAATATATTACAACGAAATTTAGTTTTTATTTTCTTCTTTTTTCTGTTTTCTTTCTAGCTCCCATTTTTTACCCGAAATGGAATCGTCTATGGGTCAAAAGAAAACATTGTACGCTTGTGTTTTTTTTATGATGGTGTTTTTTCTAGGGTGTAATTGCGTCCATGGACGAACCCTTAAAAACATGAAAGTTGATGATAAGATGAACGTTGGTCGTGATAGCAAGACAATCATGACGGCGGAACACAATGATCTGATGGTTAATGAAAAGGCAGTGCAGCTCTCTCCGCCACCATATCCACCGTCATCACCACCACCACCACCACCACCGGGAGGTAAAAGTGCAGAAGATTTCAGGCCTACAACACCCGGTCATAGCCCTGGCATTGGGCATAGTATATCCCATGACTAATCATTTTCGTGCACATATGTGTTGTGATTTTTTTGGTTAAAGAGAGTATATGTGTTATGTTGTGAACTTATAATATAGTATTGTCTTGTTAAATTTTTATTAAGCAACTCCATTTATGATAACTTAATAAACAAAAAAATCTAAAAATTCTAATCGATAACTTTTCAAAATATATATTGATAAATTGGAAAGTAACAAATATATATAGATATTTTTGCATCACCCTAGATACTCTTAAAAAATGTCAAATAATAATTATGCATGTGCTCACATAGTCACATGCAGAAAGACAATACAAAGAGTGGTTAATTCTTTTTGTCTGTTATATATATAGTGATAAAGTATGGCATTGGTACTACAGTGAACTGAGAGTATAAATAAGTACATGTTTACTTGGAACTTAATAAATAAAGTCATCTCTTGGTACGTTGTTGTTAATTCTTTAATAAGAATCATTATAAAATAATAACCGTGATGGTGATGGTTGAGATTGTAATATAAAGATTGCTTGACTTTTTGCTTGTCATCATTATGAATCAATGGCATCCAAGCCTTTTTAGAGTTCCTTTCACTGCTGTTACTTTTTCCTATGAATAATATACAAAATTAACCAAATATTTGAAAAGGTTTAAGTTTTACCCTAAGTTTTAATGAGTTTAAAAGATTTTGGGTGGATTAAAAGTTGTTATGATTTATTGTAAAATTATTTTTAATTTCACATTGAATTATAAAATTTGGACCATCGTATTTTTAGCTTAAAAAAATCTACTAAAACATTTTAAAATCACTAAAAACCACTTTAAAAACATTTACAGTAACAATGAATTTGGAAATAACATTTTCAAATCACTGGTTCAATACTATTGAACTTTTTTAAAATATTTTGATTTGTAATATAAGATTTATACATATCATTTCAAATTATTGACTGAATACACACTTTAATTTATTTATTTTTTGAAATTAGGTTCTTCCTCCCTTAGTTCATTTAGCTTTAGTTTTCCCTGCAGAGTAATTTGGAGAAAAAAAAGGAAAAAGCTGTGGTCGGAGACTGTGGTAGGCCCTTCATAGGACTTCCCTGCGTGTGGGAACCAACCAAATTTTAAAAATCAACCTTTTCACTTTTCAGCATGCCATTCATTATATGGCTGCGATGCTGCACACATACCTTTAATATATAGCACGAATAATTGATATTGCGAATACCAACTACAAATTGTATAGCACGAACTTTTATATTAGCATAAACGAAGTTATGCTAACAGAAGAATTAAGCTAGCTAGCTTCATATTCAAAAAAAAAAAAAAAGAATTAAGCTAGCTTGGGGTTATCGGCTCACGCTACTCCATATTTTACATTAATATATTCAAAAATTATCAGAATCAGCTAAATATTAATTTAGATAATTGGTTGCTCATCAAAGTTCAAAAAATAAAAATTAAATAACATTCATCGAAGTCAAATATTACTTTCTTACAAAAATAAATAGTCCACTCTGTCAAAAATTAAAATAAATACATTATCATTTGCTATATCACATGTATAACATCTGATTAAACCAAACCAAAAATATATCAAACTATTGATTTAAAACCTAAATATATTTTAGACTGTTTGATATTTCATGTCCATTATAGATCGTAATAAAAACTATCCAAAATACTGATTAAAAATTTGTTTTTTGAATTAACAAAAGAGCTTGATAGCTAACAACTAATTTAAAGTGAGCGAAACTTGAGATTTTTTTTAAAACTTTCATAAGATGTTTTCTTCTTAACACATGTATCGAATCAACTGAAAATTGGAGAGAACAGTCTTGCTTATGGTTCTAATCTGCTATTCGGTGTTCATTTATTTGATAATAGAAAATGCTTAAAGTTAAAAAAATAATAATGACAAACGACAAAGAAGGAGTGAGTGGTAGGAAAGAATTAGTGGTTAAGTAGGCCTACGGTTAAGTTGATGGCGATGGTGCCTTTGACTTGATTCTCCTCACTCGTTGACGAACTAACTTTTCCTCTCACTCGTTTTTGATTACTAAGATAGTTAGATTGTTTACAATGTTTTTTTTTAATTGCGCTTTAATTTACCTTTACAAGCATGGCGGCATTGTCGGACACATTAAAACTTAAAAGTTCAAATAATAGTTTAAAATGGATGGACCGAATAAAGGAAAACAAGTGTCCATATAAAAACTTCACATGTTGACGTTTAATGACTTATTTAAGCATATAAAACATTCTTTAACGTGAATTTAGTGATATTGGTTTAGCCGATTAAGTATTTCAATTTTCTTGGTGAGAAAACTTCGATTCAGACATTTACATATGATTGTATTAAAAAGGTTACTATCGAACGAATGAATAGTCCGTTTGGTTTGATTTTAACATTTAAGATAATTGGCTTATTGTTGTGTAGTTCGAAGAAGATTAATAAACATTTTCCTCTGTTTCAACCTACCTCTTCCTCTCTAGAAAGAAACAGCTCATTCTAGAGCTTTGTATGAACACCGTTTTTTATAATAAAAAGATTACACTACAATAACAACAAAAAGTAATTTTTAAACGTCACGAACACTATGAAAATATATGCAGCTATGCATACTTTTAATCAGTCAGATACAAATTTAGAGAAAACAGCAAATTTACGTTATGTTTATTCAAATCTTCGAGTGTTTACTTACGGTCAGAAATTTTCTTTACATCACATAACGGTTCTAGTCTTCTAGAAGCCAAAATTTTAAAATACGAAAACATATAGGTGTGTATATACTATATACCTGTATGTGTGTGATTACAATTATTTTTCGTACGAAGATTTTGTTTTATAAATCTGGCTTGGTGGTATTGGAGCCAACCCTTTTTTTGGTAGTGGAGAAGATCTTATACTCGTGAGTGGAGGACTGGGGTCCGAATTTTATAAGAATATACTTCAAAGTCAAGAATACGATCATATTACTAGGGAAACTCAAGAAATGCAATCTTTCTATAGCCAAACATTTCTTGAACATACATTTTTAAATTGAACTTTCACACCATGTTTTTACTCTAGAAAGAAAGAAAATACTAGTGAAGTCTCTTTAAAAAATTCAAGAACATGATTAGGAAGAGATTATTACGTCAAAAAAGGAAGAAATATTTAAGAAAGAGGCACATTCCAATCGCCAACAACCATGCACATAGTTATACTTTTTTGCTCATTATAACTACAAACGGATTTCTTTCAAGATTTGTACGATTTTTTTTAAAAAAAAATAAAAAGTATATAATTAAAAAGCTTTTATACATATTACGTATGGAGATGGCCAGATGGGAGAGGGTTCTTTTAACATTAGTGTCTTTCTGTGGTTAGGGAAGGGCGGCTTTTGTGGAACTTAATCAGCCTTTGGAGATTTATAGGTGTTAAACAATATTTCATTTCAATGCTAATAAATATCCATTTTTAATATCCAAAACTGATTTTATATATGGATATATATATACATATATAATATGAATGATTTAGTATGTGATATAAAAAACGATTTTATGTATGTATAATCAGTTGATCACAAAACAATGAATGATAATACTGTTTAGTCCTGACCAGAGAAAATGTCTTCCCTTTCATGTTTACAAACTCGTTTCTTTCTCTAAATTTATAAGTTCTGATAGAATATACAGTAATACAGTATGTGTTTTTTTTAGGATATGAACACATAATCAAAATCTTAATTATCACAAACCATGTTTTAAATTCCACCGGTAAGTTAAAAAAAAAAAATTACGATACCAGTATGAGTTGGTATATTCAACAATGGAGCACTATGGGAGATTCAGGACATCTGCCGAGAATCCCACGCTTAGATTTTGTCGTATAATTATATCTTTGATTTGTTTACTATAAAATGATAACCAAAAATTAAATTTAAAGATTTTAAAAGTTGAGTTATATTTTATGATGACTGAAACCGACGTTTCTGATATTATATTTACCTGAAAAGATACTAATTGACCATTTGAAATCTCCTTTTTCAGCTTGGCTACATGCCGTCCATCGATTGTCGATTATAAGCATATGTTTAATAGTATTCCTCCTTTGTTTTTTAGTTTACAGTATGCGTTTTTTTTAGTTCTGAGATACACGAACGGTCCAAATTAAATCACTTTGCTCGTTGTACCACTTAAATCACTTTGCTCGTTGTACCACTCACATTACAATTATAAAACCATCTATCTTTCGAAGTAACTTAAAAAAAATAATCCAAAGTCGAGGGATCTCAGGTCTCAAACCTTCTTCTGTCATAACCCTAGAAATAATACCCGCACATACAAAAAAAAAACAAAAATTACATGAAACACTCAACTTATATTATTCTTACCATTCTCTTTATTCCGATGATATTTTATAAGATACAATTCACTGAGGCCAGACAGTTGCGGAAAACCAACGGTGAAGATCATGATCATCACTTCATCACCGGTTACACTGACGATTTCGGGCCTACTTCTCCGGGTAATAGTCCAGGCATTGGTCATAAGATGAAAGAGAACAATGAAAATGTTCAAGGGTTTAAAGATGATTTCAAGCCTACGACACCAGGTCATAGTCCCGGCGTTGGACATGCTGCCAATAACAATGAGACTAAGGCTTAAAAAAGGTTTCAATAGTTTAGGGCACTTCTTCGTTGCATATACTAAATTAATATGTATTTAAAAGTATCGCATAAGTGTAATTTAAATTTAGTGTATGTAGGTTATGATATGTCATTTGTAACTTGGTCGTTTAAGAGTAAATCTAAATCATTAATAAATCTAGATACGAGATGTGTTTTAATTCATTTAAAACTTTAATTTCTTGCAAGTTTTTTTAGTCGGCACATGATTTTGCATGTAAATATATATAGAGTAGATACTTCAATTCGCAGTGAGCTTCTTACTACTTGCGACCATGTGCAAAAGGTAGAACTGCAAAGCACATGAAGAGAGACTTTGGAGATTTTAATATATCTTTTTTTTTTTTTTAAACTTTCTCTTTATTCACCTTCAACCTCTTCCCCACAGAGGCATGTTTTGAAATTACATTCAAATAAGAACAGGTGAAAAAAAACTAGCTAAACCAGGAAGGAAGGAAAGCAATACTAAATTACTTATAGAGCTAATACGCAAGACAGATAAAAAGCAGCTGCAGCAGAAACATTTTTATATATCTTGGTATATCTTGGTAATACTAAATTACTTAATATATCTTGGTACTGTCTACACTTTTAACATTTTTATATAATTAAGAAGTTTGGTGATATACAAATGGAGGTTTAAAGATTTCCAGATTAGGGAGAAGGAAAATGACTTAAATGAGTTCTGTCAGCTACTACAATTTTAATATAGCGCATCTTATTACATTAGCTTTTCAGTTATAATAAAATATTACTTTTTTGTTTCTTCACACTCCTTTAGTTGAAGTTGAAAAGGTACAATAAAAATATCGTAAATGATTGAATCAAATAATTGATTGATTTTAAAGTAATTCTAATTTTAAATTAGTTAGAAGGATGCATTTTGTTGAATGATATACCTTACATTTAACGTTGTTATATTGTTTATTTAGAAAATACTAAAATTTTAAGATTATTCAAGATATTTGGTTAAAATAGTGAAATTTAGTGAGAGTGAAAAAGGGCAACGAGAGTACAACCAATCACTATCAGTATATAATTTTTAAAACAAAATATTTAAGAGCGATATATGCCCCAAAGGCGGGGAGAACAACTAAAGCTTTGCACCAGCCGGGAATCGAACCCGGGTCTGTACCGTGGCAGGGTACTATTCTACCACTAGACCACTGGTGCTTCACATTATCATGCCTTGTTTAGGTTGGAATTTATATGATAAAGTCGTATGTACGGCGTTCATTTTAGTAAAAATAAACAAGTTCATGGGGCATGAATGAATTCCCGAAGCAATTTTTTACCAGGCATAAATTTCCTTATAGTAAAATATATTATTTGCTAAATCTGTGCATTACTGTGAGATTTTACACCGCATACTCAAGTCTCAGCAAAATGATATAATACTTGAGGTACTAACAGTCCACTACTTTATTTGTACAGAAATTAAACTATAATCTACACATTATGAGCACACTATGTCAAAACTTCATGAAGTTTTACAATATAACTATAAATAAATCCCCCCAAAAAAAAACGTATGCATAGTAGATAGCTTATGCATATATAGCATAGACATAGCCGCATAGCACCGGAACAGGAAGATTTAAAAACGATATGTGCAGTCAAAAACACTAATTTAGTGTGCCAATTGTCAAATGAATCACGAGATGTCGTGAGAATCTCAAAAAATGATGAACGATACAAAAATATATAGTTAAAAAGACGTACCTCCTCCTTGGAATCATGACAGTCGTCTAAACGTGCACCCATTTTTCTTACACTTTTTAACGAATGACCACATTCACCTCAGTTTGGTTTGAGCTAGTATTGAGCCCGAGGAATATGCTTATATTATTCGGTGCAAATATTAACCAAAACATCATATACCTTTTCTTTATCTAAATTGATTTAAAGGGGAAACTTACAAAATTCTACAAGTTTACACATGAATACAATCGGTGGTAAGTTATAACATACCAGGTGATGATTTTTTTCTTTTTCTTTTTGTTAAATGGCTTTTTAATTTTCCTATATATCAATACTTTTGGTCACTTCTCCGACACAGATTAAATAGCTAGACGGATGGTTAATTTGTGGGCATGCATGTATAAGACTAATTTATTGTAGCAACTAGCAACGCAATTTCTTGTTCATGTAAATATGTCTACATATGAGTTCCTTTACGGAATCTGCCCCAGAAGCTCGGAATTTATAATTAAACTAGTGGTTTTTTTTATTTTTTTTCAAATACAGATTTTGACCTCATTTTATTATAATAAATGTTGGCTGTGTTTGTTGGAGGTTCACATGCATGGTCCAGCTAGTCATTTTTCTTCTCAATAAATAGCCATCTAGAGGTGAAGCCATCGATTCATACATTCAACGCTTATTCGAATAATCTTCATACATACATAAATATTTCCTAGACTTTATAATTTGTGTTCGTTTCGTTCAATTTAGAAGATATAACTCTCTGATAACTGCTATGTCTAAATGCACATTGACAAGCTTGGTTTTACTACTAATAGTGCTGATTCTCATCCAGGGATCTCACGTCGCTGAAGGCCGGCCTTTGAATTCTTCGGGGATCTCTAGTATCCCAAAGAAACTCAGTGGTAGCAGTTTGAATATTTCAAGCAAGTTAGAGACAGAAGATCATTCCTTGGATGCATTTAGGCCTACCAAACCCGGAAACAGTCCCGGAATCGGTCACTAGCTATATATATTTTGTTGCGACAAAGTAAGATGCTAGGGTTATTTTCAAAAACATTTACTTGTGACCAAGTAAAATGTTATTGTGAGTGCGTCGTGTATTAGCTGGGGTTTCTACATATTGTTCGTTGTGTTTCCGTGATTGTACTCGATCGATCGCTATTGAACTTTTATTGAATTGGTTTGTCTCATGTTACTTTTATTTCTCTCCTAGTCTCCTTTTATCTATATATATAATGCCATATATTGCAACGTATATGATTGTCTTTATACATGAATTTTAATTCTTTCGGCCTCCAATTTCCATGTAGAAGTGTAACGGAGTATTGTTATGAGTTATTGTTAAAGGGTAATTAGAATTCTAAGGTTCTTTAATTTCCTTCCATTCTCGTTACACATAATGGTTCAACAATTCCGTAGTTCTACAGATTACTGTTAAGAAATATTGTAATTGATAGATTAGGAAAGAAACTTAAATATTAATTACCTAACTGATACGAACTTTAATCACTCACGCACGCACACATCCATCAACACATTCATAGTTATATTTTTTTTTACTAGTACATCTCCCAAATTGAACGAAGTATTTTGGACATGCGAAAATCAGAATCTTTCCACCAACCACGAACTTTATATCGAACAAAATGTATATTAAATCAATCATATATATCACATTTGAAAAAGACGTCCAAGGAAAGGGTAAAGCGGCAACTCTATGTGGGTCCATTAGGGTTTGTCTATAATACATAAACAAGGAGTTATACTTATACCCCTTGTTTTTGCTAGTTCTCTAGTTTATTTGTATTATTGGTTACTGTAGTTATCTATATTTCTTCTTGGTGTTAAGTCTCCGACATAAGAGGAAATTGGAGGATATGAAATTAAGGGAATGTAAAAAGTCTCCTGTTACTCGTAAGAATTGAAGAATTTGTTTTCTATTTTATGTAAGATGAACATCAGCTTGTTGTAGAGGAATCTATTAGAAAACCAATTTTGAACTCGTTAGGTATTATTGTAGTTTTTTAAAATTGGTTTTAAAACCAAATTTTACACACAATTGGTTTATATTTGCTGTTGCCGTGTCACTGTTTAAAAAAAAAATATATCAAAGAAAAATGAAAAATAAAGATCGGGAATAATAATTTGTCCTAATCATGGTGGTGGGACTGACCAAAGATTATGCTGGTCTCTAGATCTTTAAATTGACGGTTGTGGCTGATTTGAAAGCTAAGAGCCAACTAACCCTATTTTCCATATTTGGTTTATTCCTTAATTAATATGATTAGTGGTCACAAGCTATAGTGGTCTTAGGGCATATGGTGTAGTGGCAAAGGACACTCTGTCTATCTTATTAGTAATGAAAGCTTTTTTTTCGTGGTAATATGTTTGTTAATTATAAAAGGTGTAGCTCTTGAGAAGTTTGAAGGGCGGCTTGGAGCTAGATTAAGTAAATAACTTCTTAAAGTAATGTTATGAACTTATGATTTAATAAGCACCCAATGGTCTTGGAGTACATAAAGCCTGCTCTAGCTGTCGATCAGTATGTACTTGGCCTTTTTACATATAGAATAGGTCTCATAGGTACGGTTCATTCTATATGTCAAGTGTGTGATTATATTACTACCGTACTATTACGAGATTTCTTTTATTGGCTTTCTTTAGATTAACAATATAATGGTTTGTTATTTTAATTGATCCAATTTTTGATTTTTTTTTTTGTTAACGATCACAATCAAAATAACTACACCACTTGTTTTACGTTACAGTTTAATATCTTATATAATCCGAATAATATGGAAAACCGGATTCAAAGTTAAAAAAAAAAAAAATTGCGTACAATACTAGTATAGGGTAAATGAGATGAAAGTGATATAATTTAAAGGGAAACAAATTGATCTCTTAAAAGATATTCAATTTTTATTGTTAAAAATTCACATTTTCCTTCATTTCATGACCAGATTGACTTTCGTATTGGTAAATATCACAACTCGCGTAATAGAAAATCAATATAAAATTAATTACAGTTCAGTTTATTTGATACTCGACATGCAACTACATATATTTTTCCAATTTAATTCAACCATTTTGAAATCGTCACGCCACGCTCGCAAAATAACAAGACATCAAACTCAAGTTAAATATCACATCAAAGGAAATGGTAGAAGTTACATTTTAACATATGTTTTACCGGAAGAAAATGTAATTTTTTCTTTCATTAATACGTTTTATTTATCTATTTTCGTGAAATAGTTAACTCATAATAATACTTTTCTATTGTGTCTATGTACACTAATGGTTAGGAAACAAATTAAAGGGAATATAGACAACTAGGCACACATGTGTATGTGAACCTTTTAGCTCAACTGAGAAGTTGGGAGCTAGCTTCATTCCCAATTCACAACAACCATTTATTGATAAAATTATTTATATTAGTTTTTAATCTGGACACTATACTTTGGTTTAAACAATTTGTTTGGAAGGAAAAGAATATTAAAAAATATTGTGCTAAACCCATAAGCCTAACCAGGGTTTGCATGTTACTTTGGGAGCCTATATATATAGACACCCTTAAACTCAAGATTCCTTAAACTCTTTAAGATTTAAGACTCTTCACATGACATCTCTTGACTACTATTTTTTAATTCTTATACAAACTTAAAGACACTTAATTTTCTCCCTTAAAACATACAGAAACAGAGAGCGACCTCTCATTCTTTTTTACTTACTTACATTCTTCATTATCAGAAACTCAACAATCATCAATGGCAAAAGCTGTGTCCTTGAATTTTTGCATATTTCTTCTTATCATTACCATAATTGTATGCCATGAAATCATACCGACCGAGGCAAGACACATGAGGGCTCATAGAAAGTCAGTCAAAAACTGCAGAAAAACTACTCTCATGGTACACGGTGGCTCCGGTGGCTTGAGCACAGCCGCCGGATCAACGAAAGAGAGTGGCATTAGCAAAGAAGAACACGGCGTTAATCAGTTCCGGCCAACAACTCCCGGAAACAGCCCCGGCATTGGCCACTCCATTAAAACCTAATTAATTGAAAGATCTACACACTTGCACAGTGTCCATAAGCTGATAAGCATAATTAATTTGTTTCTATTTCTTTCTTCTATTTTCTTTTCTAATATTTTTCCTGTAATTATTGGTTGAATATTGTAACTCGTACATATAATCAAATTATTATTCATAGCAACATACGTGGATATTTACGTTATTTATATAAGTGAGGGTTATTAGTTATTACGTCTTCATTTTATGTTGTTATCTCGTCCTGCATACGTCGTTATTACATCTTCAATAGAGAAATAAAGATCAAATATATTTCAGTCCTGACAATGGATGGATTTGGAAATCCACCTGGATACGGGGTAAGATAGTAGAAGAATTCAAGTGCAGATCGAGTTGAGAATTTTAGTGTGTATTTCAGTATTTGTATATCATCAAAATCTTTCAAAGGCTCAGCTATTTACAATCCCATATTTATACTAAAGGCCCGTTATGGTTTCGTCCATGTAAGTGTTTAGCTAAGCCCATTTAGTATCAACATCCTCCATTTTATTTCCCATACCGTCACTATTATTTACAGTTCAGTCATCAGTGTATTAAGTGTGTATTTTTTTTTAACAGCCAGTATTATATATCGTCAAAATAATTCTTTTTTTTCGTCAAAATAATTCAAAGTTCCAGCTATTTGTCAATATATATATATATATAGAGTGGTGGAACCAGAATTTTTTTTCATTGAAAACAAATAAAAATATACATAACTTTATAAGTGGGGGCATTAACATTGAGTTTTATTAAATTACACTAATTTTTTAAATTTCGTTGGGGGCAAATGACCCATCTCATTACATGTGGCTCTACCACTGTATATATATATAATATATATACAGGACCGACCCAATAGATTTTGGCGTCTAAAGCCCAAAATTTTTTTTAAACCTATTATTAATAAAAATTTACAAAATAGCAGACATTTGAATTTGAACCAGTTATCAATGCCTCATTATCTCACCTTCTAGCTATTGCACTACACTCAACTTTTGAAAATTTGCTATCCTTAATTTTACATATATTTTTTGTGCCTAAAGCATGGACTTTACCAGCTTCACCTCAGGGTCGGCCCTGTATATACATCTCCATAGTTCACTCTCGTTGTTTTATAAACACATAAAATAATATTTTAAGAACATTGTTTTCTAAAAGATTATGGATTTCGTAGCTTCATATTTTGCTATAATTGATTTAAATAAGAATTGTTTTCTATTTTCTAATTAAAACCAAACTTTTTTTTTCTCTAGCCAAAAAAATAAAAATAAACCTCTTCAACAATGTTTGTATGATATCTATCTAATACTTACAAAAACAAAGCTTAAATTGTGAAGAGTGGCTTAATTGTAGATGACGAGACTTGTAATTGTGGGGTCGAGAATATTGGTCGCTGTCTAATACATGGCTTCATGGTTCGGTAGGTGGTGCTTGCATGTAGTTGATTAATGACATATTGACATGAATATTTGGTTATTTAGTTAGTCAATAATTTCCGTAAGTTAATAAATTATTGATGTGTGATTAAATTCGTTAACAAAAAAAGTGTAATACGTCAATTATATGTGTGTTTAATTGTCTTCATTAATTTAGAAACGTCACTTAATCTCAGCCGTTCGATCATCCCATACGACCTTTCCGTGGGGCCCAGACCCGCGAATCGTAGCAATGTGGGCAACACGTCGAGAGGAATCTCAAAGAGATGATGTTAAACGCCGTTAGGCATCGAGATTCCCCGTTACTAACACCGTAAATGAAAGGAAATCATATTACGAAATGACCAACCTTAAAGAGGTTAACAGTTAGGTCACTAGAAGAGGACATTTTGGTAATTTTAAGAGGATGAGTATGTCATCTTCTTCCTCTCCTTTAATTTCCCAGTCTATTGGTCCTCAGCCTCCCTTTGCTTCAGGTGGCGTTGCTCTATCGTCCCCAAGAAAATCGCTCTTTTTTACTCCTTTTTCGACTAAATTTTACGAGATTAAAAAAAAAAAAATCACCTAAATTTCGGACAATAAGTTCTAGATGATTCGATGTTTTTCAGACATGGAGCGAAAAACCCTAGCGATTACGCCTCCGCTTCTACTTACGTCTTTCTTATTCCATCTTCGGTAAAACCATTTATTCTTTCTTTCTCACTAATTTTCTTTTTGAAAAAGTTTCATGTTTGCCAATCCCTTATTTATTTGTATTTTCTTCTGTTTTCGATGATGGGTCACTGTTGTTTCTTACAGAAGCTCAGCGATTTTAACAGAAGTTTTGATTTTTTTTTTACCTAAAGTTGGAATCTCTTTTCTACTACGCTGCTTCTTCTATCACTAACTCTAATTGTTCTGGATTTTAAGTTCAATATTCATTGAAAAGTCTACTCTCGTCTGCGCTTTAATTCGGGTTTTGTTTCACTATCAATAGGAATGGTCAATCTTCTTTGTCCCTTTTCTGTTTATAGAAGTATTTCTTGCTTCTGATTTCTTCAAATGACGTTCTCTCTTTTTGGGTACTATTTGAAGATTTCACTTTCTTTTTCTCCGCTTCATTTTTGGGTGATTTTGTTTTTTTGGGTGTGTTTATTAGTATGTTTTCAACTTTTAAAGTAGTTGGTGAATCCCCAAATTACATATATTTCGTTGTTGTTTTTTTGATGTCTCAGGTTTTCTTATGTGTTTGTGTTTGCAGAGGAGCAGCATTTGGTTCATCAAAGGCGTTTCATTGTCTTCTGCTTCTCTCATGTCTATTGCTTTCCTCGGTCAATACATTGCATAACTTGGCTGAATATGACTCTCGTGGTTCCAGTGGCTACAACACTGCTGCTTCTAAAGGGTTTCAGAGCTTTAATGGTGGAGATCCCGAGAATGTAGCAATCCAGAATGTTAATCCCAGCTCACACTTGTTCTCTTTCCTTTCAGCTAAAAGATCAGAGAATCAGTTTGATGCCATTGTCCCCTTCTCTTGCCCCAGAAAAGCATGGAGTAACAACAATCTATCTGGTGTTGTGTGGCTATCTCTAAAGCCTGTCCACATTATAGAATTTCAGCCTTTTACTGGATTCTTTCGCATAGGAGACACCACTTGTTACAAACCTTTTTCTAAAGAGCTCTATGCTAAGAGAGAGTCAAGTGTTTCGGTTTCGAGAAATGCTTTTATGGAGCAGAAACAGTGTGAAGGGTTTTGGTTAGAACCTGGGGGTTCCATCAAGTTTCTGTTTTTCTACCAGACCGAACTCTCTTGGGGATCTGGAGTTGCTGTTTTCGCAGTCCCGATGAAGGCGACAGCGCCTGTGTTGATGCTCAATCTTTGCAAAAAACCAGTCTTTTGGGTGCGGACGAAGAAATTCTCGGTTGCGCTTCTTATTGCTGCTGCTTTACTCATTCTGATGTTTTGCTTCAACGATCACTTGGTCTACGAGAACAGTGAGCGAAACAACTGCAGCCACATTGCGGTTAGAAAAGTTGAGAAGCCATCTACGATCACAATCTCCCCAGAAATGGATTCTCTCCTAAGATCCATTAGCAAAGAGACGACCTTGCAAGGGGGCTCCAATGAGCTTTCCGAGAACGATATGAAGCCAACTGCTTCTCTTTCTTCTTCTTCTTCTTCTTCTTCTTCTTGCCAAGCAGAAACGTCAGAAGCTGTGAATCTCACTGTAAAGACAGCGAAGAGACGGCGTAACAAGAAGAAGAAGAAAGGAGCAATCAGCGGATTAACATCCGAGCGCAACGATGTCTCAAGCAGTCACAGCGGAAACTCAACTCCGAGCTCTCCAATGTCACCAGAACCACCGATTACTCGAGCCACAGCGAAGCAAGGAAAGCCTCCTAAACCGGTCCTATCACACTCAGCAACGTTTCCTGTTTCAGGGGTCAAGTCAGTGATCATACAACGAAGCTATCTGGCTCCAAATGTGAGAGCTCCTGGGTCGAAATCAAGAACCGAACTGAAAGAAGAGAAGGCCAAAGAGTACAGGTACGATATCTGGGGAGATCACTTGACAGGGCTTCATTTGATGGATAGGTTTAAGGAAGTGAGAGAAGGTAAATGCAGCTCAGGCTTTGGTGAAAATGAGTCTCAGAGTTTTTTTGTTAAGGGTCCTCAGAAGTTGTTAGCAGATTCTCATGCCATCTTTGCAAGTTTCTGCGACCAATGGGGCTCATAAAAAAATAAAATAATAAAAAAATAAAAATTATATAATAATTGGAACCCCAGTGGGCTTCTAGATCAGGGTTTTGCAATGGTTAGATTTTGTATGGGCCGGACATAAAAGTAAAAACGTAAGGGTAAAAAGGTAAAATAATAGACGAGGAAAGAAAATTACCGTTAGATTATTTTCTCCACAAAAAGTGAAATGAGAAATTTCATGAACAGGGCAAGCAATACATTTGCTTTTCATGGAATTCCGAAGACTAAATCAACAGAGTCAAATCAAAGAAACAAAAACATGAAGGATTCATAATAACTTTAACCGAAATTCAATAACACATGAATTTAAAAGAATTCATGATATACATCTTTGAATAACACTAGAATTTTATGGAAAGTCTAATTTCTTCTAATTCAATTAAAGAATTTAATTGAATACCTCCCCCAAAGTGTCCCTACTCTGCCTGTGTGTGTTTCCTTTTCTTCCGTGGCTTCTCATGTCTAAGTCCCTTGCTCCATGGTTGTAGCCATTATTGGAGTCGGAATAGTCGGTGGTATGATGGTTCTTGAATGGTCTGCGAGCGTCCTCACTCTGCCTGTATCTGTCTCCTTCTCTTCTGCGGCTTATCATCATATCTGAGAAGTGATCCAGGTCCCTGACTCCGTAGTTGTAGCCACTGTTCGAGCTGGTATGGTGGGTATGATTGTTATCGTTTGGCCTCCTCTGATGTGTAACTGGCACAGCGTGTGTATTGGCATGTGGGTTGAAATACGCTTGTCCCCGCAGAGCATTAGAAGTAGGTCTTCCACTGTAGAAAGCTGGTGGTGGCCTTTGGATTGATTGGTTTTGTTGTGTTGAATAAGCATATGAGCGTGAAGGAGGAATGTTTGGCCGAGGAAGATGTGAATGGGGAACATTGAAAGGAGCGTATGGACGAGGCGCATATGTATAATGGGAATTGTAGGAATCAAAAGTGGGATTCTTATTTCTCGACTGGGTTGGATTCTTACGGACCTGTGAAGGATTTTGGTTTGGAAAAGCAACAAGTGAGTGATTAGCCGGGATGTCTTGTCTAAACCTCTGGGTTTGATTCTCATCTTTCTCGTTTTTTCTTGTCTTTACTGCACAAGGCTTCTTCACACGACCAGGCTTTTGAAGTCTTCCATCTGGTTACAAACACAAGATGATCACTAAAAGAAACCTCTAATCTATATAATAACTGGTGTATAAAACAAGGAAGAATAAAGCATCTCACCTATTAGTACATAGCCTGACTTTATTTTCCTTTCTCTCATAACTCTTCTTGCTGCGGCACCACGGCTATGCTTTTCAGAAAGAACTTTTACTCTGTCTTCTTCATCAGCCCATCGCTAGAATAAGCAATGGAGCAACTAACTCATAAGCATATGCAACCAGCAAGACTCAGGACTCAATATTTAAAACTAAAAAAATAGCACATTTTCTAAGACACCTCACCTGCCTCAAGGTCATTAACCTATAAAGATTTCGTCCTTTCACTAGTAAAGGGTATAACGGAGGCAATTTCTGTATCCCCTCACACCAAAGCACTTCAATCTTTGGTAAAGGCACATTCAAGATGGTAAGTTTATCAGACTGAGAACCAGAGTAAAGCAACACTACAGAAAAGATCAAACAAATCACATAATGATGATCAACATGTGAGTTAGGTCTGACTTACAGTGAAAGTGTGTTGCTGTTTAGCAGTACCATAGCTTTCTTTAACAACCTGGCCAGCGACAGTTCTTCTCCCCATAATCTTTCCACTCCCTTTCACCTTTTCATACCTATTCAACCCCCAGGTCGTTGATTTACATCAATATGAGGATATGGAACAAAAGTGAAAAAAAAAAAAAACAAAGTAAACCAGGAACCATGAGTTTTAAAGATGTTATTACTTCTGATGAACCTTCTGTGTAAACAAAACAGTGTCTCCTTTGCAGACATCACCTGTACCAATTGCTGGGACTGTCAAACTCCGCGAAAAATAGAAAAATACTAGCAGAGATCCAGACCAGTATTACCTTTACAATTGATAGCAAAAGATGATATTGGATAAAGTACTTTTCCGCTCCCATCTTTTATCCTGAGAATCAAAAAAGGATCATGAGAATATAAAGCACTATTTGCATTTGCACAAGACATAGAGAGGCAAGCCAAAACTACATACCTCCAATGCTCAACAATTCTCTCAATAAAAACTGCTTTTGTGCCAGATAATCTTAGACCATGCTTTCTCAGGTATGCTTTGCATTCTTTTACATTTAGAGCTTTCAAATCGCCTCCGGCTACAACAACACATAAAAATATTTAAATCATAATGTTTCTTTAGCATCCAAACAGAGATTTCAGGTACATTGGTTGAAAAAAAAAATGCGGAATTTCTAATAATATATTTGGAAGATTATTTTCCAGAGCCATCAAAGATGCAAAAACAATCATATAAAGACTCACTCCAGACACGATGTTATTGATCAAATGTTTGCATCTAACAAAGTTAGGTCAATAAGAAACTGATGCAAAATAGTGTGTTTTTTAGAGAAACGCAGTGCAGACTACACAGGTGGGAAAAGAAAGGATCAATATAAACCGTAAATGAGAAAACCTGTGAGCAGTCGAGTGATTTTGTCATCATCATCGTCATTTTCCTCGGTGGTCCCGTCATCTTCCTCCACATCTGACTCCGCAGCATCATCGTGACTCCAATCCTCACTAACCAGACGACAAGCACAATCGATACATTTAGGAAGAATAGAAAAAAAACCCAAAAAATAGATTAGAGAAGCAACCGTTGGCAAATACCTTGAAGTCGTATCTTCTTCTTCCTCCGTTTCATCAAACTCTTCCTCACAGTTATTCTCATCACCGAACCCGTCTTCTTCCTCCTCCTCGTCCGAGCTACAGAGATCGATGATTACTTTCTCCTTCGACATATGAAATCTTTTCAGAGCAAGGAAGAAATTTGAAAATGCAAACGGCTTCTGGGGAATTTTGTCGGGATTTAGTATTTTACCTTTTATAAATCCCGAAATTGGTATTGGCCTGGGAGAGTGTGATGGAGGTACTTTTTAGATATTTACGTAATTTACCTAATAATTTATATATTTACACGATTTCACCTATGACGAAAAGTTCTTTTTAAGAAAAAAAAAAATGGAATTTAAGGACTCTTTTCAAGGCTTGTTTTCCCATTTTTACCAAAAAATGTCCTGAAACCGTGCGACAAAATTTGAATTTTTTGTTTTTGTTCGTAGTTTTGTGTTTTGTTTCATCATATACAACTACAAACTCGACGTCAAAGGAGTAACCATATCAAGTACATTACTAACCTCAGCTACTATCAAGAGAAATACGAGTGCGACTTTAAACAGAGAGATTAATTTTTTTTTTAAATGGATCTAAATCTAAAAATGATACAGATCCGAAACCAAATGTACACAAGACAAGACGTCGTTTATACACAGCTCTCATAAGCCAAAAAAGGGGGCAGTGGAAAAAAATGGACTCTTCTATCGATTAGACATTGGATTAAATGTTACACATTTCTTCAACCCACAAAATTTCATTCATCCCCACAACTCCAAACTCTAATGTTATCGTTGGGTTGGTGCAAATCAAAGGTGATCTGAAGAGACGCAGATTCTTCTCCGGTCAGTGCTTGGCTTAGGCCGCTGGGAAGGAGACGGGCTAGGAATAGCCTCGAGAGTGGAACGAGGGGAGAGACGGGACACTGTTCCGGTTAGATCGGGAAACCGGTATTGTTGTTGCTGCTGCTGCCAACTTTCACTGGAGAAAAAGAAGTACGCGTGAAGAAGCTGGAGAAAGCCAAACCCCATACAAAAACAAACAACATGGACAACCAAACAAAAAAAAAAAAACAAACACAGGTTTCACACATTGCTTCGGGTTTGAAACGGGAAAGGTTATATCCAAATGAAACTGTGAGGAGAATGGATTACCTCTCTGAGGATGTCACGTTTCTAGCACGCGGAACCTTTTCTAGATTGAAATTTGGTTTCTCCCTTCTAATGTTTTGTTCCTGTCAATCCAGCAGAGAGAGAGAGAGAGAGATCCTATAATTAATGACATTAGGTCCATCCATGAAAGAGATGCACGCTTGGATTGAGGGGTCTTGCTTACCGTTATGTTCATCCCGTTAAATAACTGGGAACAATTCGAGACATCGCTGTTGCGGGGTGAGGTTGGTTGCGGAGAGTTCTTTAGGAACCGATGTTCTAGCAACATAGATGCAGTTGGTCGCTCAGCTGGATTTCTCTGGAAGCATAATCTTAGAAAATCTTTGCCCTCCGGTGACATCGATTCAGGTACCGGCGGGCTATCTCTCATGACTTTGAACATAGCTGCAGCCTATGATAACGGCGAAGTTGATACAAACAGTTTTCATAGATAATCTATCTTTAGACGTATTAAGACTATAAGGCATATGTGTATGCTTACCCCTTCAAACTCACTCCATGGAGGCTTCCCAGTGAACATTTCGATGATTGTACATCCTAAACTCCATATATCAACAGCAAAAGCGTGATCTGGGTTGCTATCTTTTTGCAGCACGGCTTGCATGAGCTGTTTGATTGAAATATCATTGTTAGTATATATATACGAAGTTGAGTGAAATTCAAAGATCATAGAACAAAAAACTACCTCTGGTGCCATCCAATACGGACTTCCCTTTAACGAGAGATCAGCTCTTTGCCCTGTAAGCTGAAGAAGAAAATTGTAACTTTATTAGTATCAAACTGAAACGAAAGGAAGAGTATTGCTCCCTTGGTTAGCAACAGTAAAACACTAGACAGAATATAGAACTCACATGCTTAGCCATGCCGAAGTCAGCAAGCTTGACAACCCCAGAAGCATCAACAAGAAGATTAGCACCTTTGATATCCCTGATGAACATTTTTTTTTTTTAAAAAACCATTATACTTATTAGCTTTAACATCTGGAAAAAATACTCACCAAGATTGATTACACTAATAATGTAAATTTACCTATGTACTGTCTTTTTGTTGTGCAAATAAGCCAACCCAGACAGAATGTGACGAGTGAAATTACGAACAACAGATTCTGTCATGGTACCACAATGGTCACGGATATATTTGTTAATTGAACCCGGGTGAACATATTCCAGGTATATAAAAAAACGATCTTCTACCTGTACATACAATGTTTAAAAGACAATTACTCAAATGAATTTTCCAGCCACACTGCATTAAAATAGGTAGGTAAACAGATATACTCACTGTCTCACTACCAAAATACTGCACAATGTTAGGGTGTTGAAGGTTACTGAGAAGTTTGATCTCCTGAAACAGAAACAAAGTTATATGAGATAGGCGGTTTGAGAGCAAACGAACAACCAAACACAGACGCACATCCTGTAAGCTTACTGAGGGCATTTTCTCTCATTGGGCTTACCTGCTCTAATTGTTTTATACACTCTGCAGATTTCGGGTCATCAGGAAATAACTCGACTTCTTTCATCGCACACAATGCTCCAGTTTCGCTGCACTCAACATAAAAACAACTTAGAATGCACTAAAAGAAAAGAGCATTAAGCACTCAACAACTTTAAGGAAAGAGTGAGAATATAAAGAGAGAAAATAATACCTGTTGCTGGCGACGTAAACGCTTCCAAAAGTGCCACGGCCTATAAGCTTCCCTTTCTTCCACTGAGAATTCATCGGGAAAGAATCCAGTTTGAGAGGAGCCTGCGGGCAAGCAGCTCCAGGAGGGAGGGGCAAAGGATGAACATTGGAGTTTTCACGGCGTCCATTTGAAACATCAGTGGAAAGCCTGAGATGCAAAGGTGAGGAAACACTATCACGAGGTGCAGGAGAGTGCTCATGAGAAAGCATCGAGTGCAATGGTGAAGATGGTCTGCTCGGCTGTGGGCTTCTGATCTGTCTGCGAGGACTTCGAGGTTGTGGACTATGGATTGGAGAGTTGTCTGTACTAAAGGCAGTGATGTCGTAAAATGCAGGAGGAGGAAGTCCAGAGGTATCAAGAGGCATATCAGGTGCAGACCATGCTTGATTGCTCTTGGGAGGCAAATAAAAAAAAGGCAGATCTTGGCCAGTGCTCGTCCTGTGTGGACTAAGCACAGGGCTCATGTACGGACTCGTTGGAGCACTCATGGTTGGAATGTTCAACCAGTAACCATTCCTGCCTCTCGGACTATTTGTACAGCTAAAATCTTGATATGAAGAATTCTCCAAGGCTCTTGTCGAGTCACGGGCAACGCCATTGACGCTGATTACAAGGATAGAGATATACACAAGCTGAGATTTCTCAATAAAAGCGACATTGCAGATTAGGATCAGATCGGATTAAAAAATGAAAGAAAATCACCTGGTGAGAGGAGGACCAGACGAGGTACGATCAGCAATAAACCTATCGGGATCACGATCTCTCTCCTCCAATCCTCTACCGTTTCCGGCATTATTACGATTCCTCGAATCTGAAGCGACCTCTGGTAACGGCAGAGGCAATGGTAACGGAAGAGCTGAAGGGGAGCGAGGAACTGCCGTGTGAGCGCTGGGAGAGCGAGTTAGACCGAAGTCGACGGTGGAAGAAGACGATGATGCACGACAATCTCCCAACACATCGTCATCCGTCAAGTGACGGAGCTTTTTCTGACGCGTGAGCTCACGCCTCCCACGGAAACGAAACAAGCGGCGATGGAATCGATCCCGATCCAGATTCCAATCGGGATCTGGAGAATCAGAGTAAGAAGCCAGCGGTTTGAGAGAAGAAGATGGAGAAGATGACGGAGACGAGAACGAGATTTGCGGTAGCCAACGCATAGCGAGAAATCATGGCATGCTCATAGACAAATCCTTTCTCTCTCTGTCTCTCTCTTGTTACCGTGAATGAGACACGATTAGAAATCGACCAGAAAGACGGAGATGGAGGCGATGGTGATGGAAAGAACCCAACGGATTCAACAGAAACAAAAAAAACAAACCCCAAAAAAAAAAAAAAACACCAGAAAACAATAACAAAGAAGAATGAAGACTATAAGGGACCAATTATTATTTTGGCAACACCTTGGTGGTTACTGGAGGCCTTTGGCTTCGCCGGAGCCGACCTCTGCTTGGAGCTCGTTTGCCGTGGGGCTCGCCAAGTCCGCTCGTTCGACCTCCGCGAGTCCTCTCCTCTCCTGGTTTAGTTTGTGTTTTCGTCAACCAACTTTCTATTTATTTTCATTTCATTTCATTTCTGTTGCATTTTTTTTTTTTTGGAGTAAGTATTTCTGTTATATCTCATCCTATTTTCTTCGGAAAAATAAGACAAGATGCGTCCGTGGAAATGTCTTTTCCAAATCTAAGTCAAGATTTACAAGGCAGTACCATTAAATGCACTAGCATATTACATTTTTTTAATAGTTGGGAAGAATTATTCTTCTTAAAAAAAAAAAAGTCATGTAGCAAGATCAGTCAAAGCTGCAAGAATCAGCTGGAATAATTCTTCAAACTGGCAAAACTTGGGTTGTGGATCTAACCGTGTAAAACCGAATACCCCCGATGATACTTATGAGAAAGAAATCAAGTTTCGAAAGCGACGGGAAGATTCCCAGCTGCTTCTCGGTCAACTGCATTTTTCACAAACAAGTCAACGGTCAAAGCAAACCAAATAATACGTGTCTAGATCTTCTTGTCTTAATAAACGACAAGTGTCACTCCTAGTCCGCACTGTAATGGACCAAGTCGTTGGCTCTTATTTCAGTGTTAACGGCCCATTCAAACACGAGACGGTTTTAATCTTCATTATTATCAACTAATCTAAACTCGTCTAAATTGCAAACAGATCTATTTCAAATTGGTCGGACACTTGCCGCGACGAATACGATATTTGATCATCAATTCCAACTGATTCTGCTTCGTTTAAACACAAAAAAGCAACTAGAGGCTTTAATGCTTTTTCACTTAAGGGTTTAAGGGGAAAAAAAAAAAAAAATAGTTACTCTAAAAATTGCTTCTTTCCTTCTAAAGTTCCATAAATTGGGAAAGAAACAAACTTGAGAGAGACATTGCAAGCTTTTCAAGGACTTATTATTATGCTTGAACATCTTCTGGCTCTTTCACAGGGCTTGTGGCGACAATCTTACACACAGTTTCATTCATGCTCAATCGCTTCAACGATGGATGAAACTCAACTTCTTGCATTAACACTTTGTCCTCGATGTCGAGTTTGCTCACATCAACTTCGATTTTAGATGGAATGTTTTCCGCTGGGCCTACAAGTTTCACACTGCTTCGGATTGACAGTAGATTTCCCCCTGTTCACAGCAACAGACACTCGGATTGAAATATCAATAAGCTTATTTATACTTACATATCAGGCAATGGTAAACGTTTAAACTAAAAAGGAATTACAAAGGAACATTCCTGAAAGTAGTCTATTCCCAATATAAATTAGCTGAAAAGTGCTAGAAAACCACGATTTATATGGAATATCTTGTTTCTTAGTTCCTTTGCCATTGGAACACAAACATTACAGCCAGATAAAAGTGAAAGATCTCTCTTTACATGATTAAGCTAACTGATCGATAATGGTGCAACAGAGGGAATGAGAGCATTATCGAGCAAACCAAAAATGAAAGGTAAAACAAAGTTCTCATCAGTCGGAGAAACAGAATCCAAATTAATTAAAGTTGAAGAAATCTTCAAGCATCAAGACCAATACACAATACTCCTGTATCAGTTTCTTATAATTCCTCAGAGAGTGCAAGATGTGAAATTTGATGGAAAGAAAAAAGCAAGAAATGAGAAGAAAAGACAAGAAGAGATTGTACCTTTCTTGAGACCGGGACAATTCTCTAACCCTTTGAAAACAACAGGAACATCAACCTTCAACTGCTCCCCATCATCAGCCCATACGAAGACTAAATTAAGTATCTTTCCAGTTTCCTCGTCTCTATGAATCTGGTAGAAACAACCAAATACTCAAATATTAATCTCCTCCGCAAATTCACTCATAATATTCGCAATCGAAATCCATCAACAATCACGTTTTCGCATTTTATTTCTTCTTTCCCAATTTGATGATATGATCGCGATTGAAATTGAAATAGGTAAAAGAAAATTCGGATTACCTTGAGTGGAAGTACTCGACCCGATTCAATAAGCGTGGAAGAACCCTGCCCAGCTCGGATCTGGAGCTTGAAAGTGGTCGAACAGAAGAAAGGGAGACCTACAGAGTCGAGAATGGACTTAATCTGCTTCCTATCAGCCGTCAAAAGCTGCTTCCTCGAAACTCCTCGCTTCGAAGCATCGGTGCCAAGAAGGGACTGAGGAAAAACCACGGCGGGAATCCGGCCAATCGTCCGATCCCGAGCCGATACTCTTCGGCCCGTAGCCTCGCGAGGTATCGCCTGTATCGTCTCATACTGATGTAAGCACCGAATCGATCGACCGAATGAAGACGCCGGCAGATCAGCCACCTCCGCCGCGGATCTCAGGCCGCGCCACCATTTCGCCATCTCTGTTGGTTAAGTTGGAGTGACGTTAGGGTTTTTTCCCATCAAATTCAGGCGACGGTTTTGGAGGGGTTTAAGGCTTTTTGGGCTTTTTAATTCTATGGTATAAACGCATTTTACTTTTGGGCTCTTTCTATTGTAAACAACGATAGCTTCGATTTGTATGTTGTTTTCATCCTACCTATTTTCTTATGGATTTAGTTTAGTTGGAGCCCAATCTATTTAATTTATTTACCAAGGTGGTATTATAAATCTATTTACTTGTCAAAACTCGATTGTTATATCAAAATATTCTAAATCAGGTTAAAGCCTAAGCCACTTTAACGAATCGGACTTAGCCTATCTGAAATTCTCAGAAACGGGATGCGAGCTCTCGACGATAAGAAGTAAGATATGACGAGCTGAACAAGACAATGTATATTTTCAATTTATATAAGCAATCTCGAAATCAGATTAATCAAGTTGAATATATGTGCCCGAAATACACGGAACCTTTGAGCTCAAAACATCATAAAAGAAAGACATAGACATCAGTTTAACTTAATCATTTGTACGCTCTTCGAACTCATTATTCGTTTCATAAACACCAAGATACCCAAAACCTTATATAGAAGAATTTCGTCTTTGTTATATATATATATATCTGTTAAAATTAGTTGGACTAAAATCAAGTTTTTTTTTTGTCATTTTGATTCACCATACTATTATTGTGATGTTTGTTATGTAGATAGAATACTAAAACACACAAGTCACATTTAAATGTTTTATTAACATATCACGAACAATGTGGTCGTGCTTTTTGACTTTTTCGTAATTACAACATTCCTTTGTCTTGTTCTGAATTTTCCAAACTGTATCAGTATGCAGTTGCTCACACGCTAAGCCTATTCACCCCCTAAAGGCCAAAACACAAATGCCTTTTCCTCTTATAATTATTTAATTTTAGTTATTTTCTTACCAACCAATATTGTTTTTATACGTATCTCCACATTACTCTGATTCTATTTCTTGTCCTCGATTTACTCGTGATAATTGTGTTTTTTATCAAACAATATAAAAAAATGATATGGTTGTAGAGAAAATTGGTGTTGTTCATACATTGAAAAGTATGTGCCTTTATTTTATCTCACGATCTATTAAACGTGCAAAGGTATATAGATATATGTCCTTAACTGTTTTTTTTTTTGTCTTTTAACTAGCTCAAATTTGTCACTGATATTATTTGAAATCTACGTTAGACTAGTTAATATCTTCGATTGCAAAATAATTTGTTTCACACGAGAGTTATATGATAAATAATTTTTGGTGATTGAACCATGTTTTGCACATCTTATTATATTTTACGAAAAGAATGATTTTTTAGAGAAAATTGCGTAAAGCATGAATATATATATGCAAAGTGAGCATTATGTATAATGCTATCAGAATGCATATTATATCATTCTTTTTATGAACTGACTCGGATCGCATGTCAACCATCCAAAATAATAGAGTTCAATTGTGATTCGGAGCTAGCACACCAAATTTAGAATGAACTAAATTTTACATGGATAAATTTTGCCAATTCAGTTCTATTAGGATACCCGGAGTCTGAAAAAAAAATATTTAAATTTGAAAAAAAATATATTTAAATTTGTTTATTAACATATATGCAAATGCAATGTTTTAATTTATTTATGATCATCATCATACTTTTGTTATGCCTGTATTGTACCATATCGTCAATTCCGTATTAACTATATTTTGATATAATTGCTGTGTCTGATCAGACTAATCTAATTGTTTTGTATCGCCTAATCTTGTATCACCATTCTGACCTTTAAAAAATGTTGTTTTTTGTATAATGCAACGAGCGGGGAGGGGAGACAATCAGAATATACAATAAGATGATATATATATATATAATATCTGGCAAATGAGAGACGGTCCGGTGCACGTGATAGTGTCTAATCAGAGTAAATGTCAAAGTCAATAGGCTGACAATAATATAACAAACCCGACGAGCATTGACTTAGGATTATACAAGCTTTACAATCGTTGCATCAATTTTATAATGTTTTCTTTGTCTAAATTTTTACGATGGCACGTTGCATGAATCAACTCTTAAAAAAAATTTTAAAAGTCATTCGGCTAAATGAAATCTGAAATTAAAATCAATGTATAATTCTCCAGCAGTATAATTAAGGTGCAGAAAACTGGTATACAAAAGCTTTGAAGTTAACCGTTCTAAAAAAAAAAAAGAAAAAAAAGCTCTGAAGTTTGAATGATAATATATATATAAAAAAAAAGATAATATATCTAATCAGCAAATCTAAAAGGCGAGATAATAGATGTCTGTTAGACAACACACACCAGCAAAAAGAGAAAGAAAAAAAGGATTTCATTTTTTCTTCTTAGTTTTGTTTGTCTGCTCTTATATGGGCCCTACCGCCAAGCTTTCTACTACGGCTGACGTCTCCAGTGGGACCCTTTTTCTTCTCTAGTTATTACATTAATGCCATTGGATTTGCACGAACGAAACCAAGTTTTGTAGTACAGAGAGGTCTACATCTTAAAAGATCGGATCTCAACTCCTAGATTTTCTTTGTTTCATATATTACTTGTTTTATGGTGAAGGAGGGGAAGAGAATTGCGAATATTCATTAAATTTTGTTGTTTTTCGATTTTACTTTTGACGAATAATTCTAGCTGTTACAAACGTATAATTTTACAAAATTTGAAATTCAACAGATAATTTTTGAAACTCAGTATATTTTGAAAATATAATATTAGATATATAACTCTTGAAAGTCAATAAAAATTTATAAAATGTGCGTCATGCAGAAAAGTGAGTTGTACTTGTACACTAAATTCTATTGCTACTTTCATTCTTCATTATATTTTGGTATGCAACTTTTCTACATTTCTACGTTTCCGCCTAAATTTTGCAAAACTCTACGAAACATCGGGTATATTTTAACAATTCTCTGACCTAACTCCTAGGCGTTTTCTAACCATATCTAGTTTACCATTTATTCTTTTTTCTTTTGTTCGTTTCAAACGTAATTCTTTTTTTTTCTGCTGTCGCAATTACTTTTTTTTTTTCTTTTCATCAATCTTTTTTCATTTGTTCTTTTAACTAGTAGTTTCTTATCTGTAACTCTAATATAAAATACCAATAATATTCTTTTTGTAAACCAAATCTCAATAATTGAGCTTTTTGGTGTATCGTATTTGTCGCTAGCTAAATCTAAAATACTTAAAAAAAAATTATTCGTTTTCATGAAGGAAACATTTAGTGAGAACGATATGTTTGTTTGAACGTGTTTAGTGTGGAATCATACACAATAGTGAGATGAAAACAATTGTTAAAAAAAGAGAGATGAAAACAATTATTCAATAAAAAACAGAGATGAAAACAAATTGGTTAATTATTACTAGCATTTGATTTTGAGCACAAATGAGAAAGTCCATGCGGTAAAGTTTTGACCTAACGTAAGCTGTTTTGATTATCTTGGTTCTGGCGCACGTGCGCCAACTCGTAGTGGGCTTGCAATGTAATTTATAACACCTCTGCTAATGGTCAAAATTTATTAGTAGTATTATATTTGGGCTACTTTTAGGAGCAACGAGAACATTAGTCTGTTTCTACTTTAAATTATGTTCAACTTTTAATCGCTTTGTTTTTTTTTTTTTTTTTTTTTTCGCTTTGTTTGTTTTCTAGGAGTATTTATGATTCAATAATCCAATGCAAAATTGGTTTTCAATAAAAAAAGTACTCCGATGAAGTTCAAATTTCTCAGCAATGAATGCTTAACTTAAATTTATTTTACGATTTTTTTCCTAGAAAAGTGCATTCAATGAAATAAGATTCAACACTGGCTAACATAAAGAAGAAAATTTTAAATTATCAGTGATGAAACACACAACCATGTGCAACATTAGACTTGTGTTGAACATAACGGAGCACTTTAATTCCATCTCCAGTTGGCATGTGACCTTAATCAACTACCAAAAATATTTGTAATTATAATCTCGATGCTTAAATACATATTTGATTATAGTTAAATGATTCAATAATTGGACGTTGGACTGAATTGTAATACCGATTTTGTAATGGGAAAAAATTAAGAAATTGTTGTATTCGTGGGGATGACTAATTTCAGTAACTGTTTAAGATTTCGTATCAGCTTGAGATTAGAGAGGGAAATGACTTATCTGGAGACGATGACAGCAGTTAGAGGGTAATTTAATCAAAATCAAATGAAATAATACAGGGACAACACTGTAATTTATCATGCGGTTGCTTTGAATTAAAACCCCAAATAATAATTAAATGGAGATCGGACGGCTGTAAAGCTCCTCTCAATCAATCTCAACGGCGATTGGTTATGGCGTTTATGGCTAGTATAAAACATGGTCTCCGTCATTAGAAAAACCTCCTTTTTTTTCTCCATTTTCTTGTTCTTTGTTTGCTTTCTCTTCGCTTGATAAATCTTCGTTCGTAGGGCAGAATAAATCGGAGATCGGATCAATAATCGGGATTTTCTGGGTTTTTCCTCCGAAACCCTAGAACCCGATTAGTAACTTCTTACTCACTCAACCTATCTCTCGATTGATCATGGAATCAGGCGATGAAGAGAGTGAGATACGACGCTAGCTGAAAAAGATCAGAGAGAAAAGATTTTGGGAAAGAATAAAGATTCGTATTTTACTATTTTAATTGAGGTACGACTGATTTTTCCTTTTTCCTGATCGATGATTTGATTCAGTTGGTTTGATTGACATGGATTGATACTGATAGATTTCTTTTTTTTCTTCTTTTTAATCATTTATAATGATTTTTTTTTATTTTTTTGTTTTAATTTGGAATCTGTTGATCTTCTTCTTTCTTATACTACCCATAAACCCTTTTCTTTTTCTAAACAGGAACATGAAAATTTATCTCCTCCCAAACAGATCTGTGATCGAAAAAAACTTTTGAAAGTCGTACGGTTGCCATCATCTGGATTCTGGTTTGTAACCCATTCCTTGGTTTCTCTTCAAACTAATCAAAGAGATTTTATTCATAATTTACCATTCTTAGTTTTTTCTTGTTTAAAACTTCTGATCTTATTTTTGTTTCACTATTCTATTACTTGTACGGAACATTTTTGTATGCACGAATCACGGTAGTTTTTTTTTCTCAATGTTATCCTCTATAATGACTGTGACACGAAGCTTCCTCGATGCATTTACTTTCACGATCCCTATTTTCTTATTTTCAGGAAAACATTTTATTTAATCCAAGAAATTGAATCTTTATCTTTTCTTCGTCCAGGCGTTTCCAAAGACAGAGAGACAGAAAAAATGGCGTCTTCAAGCTCTCCCTGCGCAGCTTGCAAATTCCTAAGAAGAAAATGCACACAAGAATGTGTATTTGCTCCATATTTCCCGCCAGACCAGCCTCAGAAATTCGCATACGTTCACAAAGTCTTCGGAGCAAGTAACGTCGCTAAGCTTCTCAACGAACTCGCCGCTAACCACCGAGAAGACGCGGTTAACTCTCTTTTCTACGAAGCCGAAGCTCGACTTCGCGATCCGGTTTACGGTTGCGTCGGTTTAATCTCAATCCTTCAACATCGCCTTAAACAGCTTCAACACGATATCGAAAACGCCAAGAAAGAACTCGCTGCTTACGTTGGTCCTCAAGCTATGCTTCCTATTCTCCAACCGCACCAAGCTCAACCGCATTTCATGTCGCTACCGCCTCAACCGCAGCGACCGTCTTCTTCTTCTTCCGCGTCTGTGCTGACTCAGCAACATCATCATAATATGTTGCCGATGATGGCTATTCCAACTGGACAACTCTACCACCACCAGCAACAACAACAACAACAACAGATTTTTGAGGCTCAGCAATTAGCAGCGGTTGCGAGAGAGCAACATAATGAGATGTTTAGAGCCTATGGAGGAGGAGGAGCAAGTAGTACTAGTCCACATCATCATCAAAACCAACCACAAGTTGAGATTCTGAGGTTTGATAATAATGGTTTTGACTCTGTACCGACCGGCTCGGTTACGGTTACCGGGTTTAATCAATTAAGCTCTGGCGGTACAACCGTAACCGGAATGTCACCGTCTTTGGCTCTTGGTGGTAACTTTGTTGATAGTCCTCCCACGAATGATAATTACCATGCGGATCAGCAATTACATCAACATCATCATCATCATCATCAACAGCAACAGCATCAGCATCATGAGGCTCAGTTATTCATACCTACACAATCTTCTCAACCGCTACCGCCTCAAACGCAGGAGACGCACACGCAGCCGAATTCAGAGACCGAGGAGGGTAGAAGGAATATCATTCGTTCATCTCGGTGATTAATTTCGAAAAATAAAACAAAAAAAGAGAGAGAGAGAGATTACAAAAAGAAAAAGATACGGCCTTTAACCTTCTCGCTTGCTCAATAACCTCAAATTTTCCTCTATTCAAGGTACGTTGAAAAAAGAAAATCGAATTTTAATTTCCCCACTAATAATAATTAGGGTTTCAATTTGTTTCGTTTTCTCTGTATTTTGATTGTTCTTTATGGTATAGTACATTTACAGTGGTACAGACATTGAATGATAAAGCCTTGTCATTTCTTCAATAACTCTTCTAGTTCCTCTAGCCATGTAGCCCATATTTTAAAACTTCCTTTTTGTTGGATTCTCTGAACAATAATGCATTAACTAACATACTGTAGTTGTTTAATTTTTTAAAAAATTCATGGTGGGTCACATCACTTCACCGATTCTCTAGACTAGTGTGATGATATGGTACTTTAATTTACGATAATTTTTGTAGCTTAAAGAATCTTAAGATTTGCTTACACCTTTCCGTCTGGAAATCTTTGAAGTGTTGTCTCAATAGAATCGATACACTTTATTTGTTATAAAATAAAAAGATACACTTATCGATCATGTTCTTTATATTAATGATATTATTGCCTTTATAATTTGTCTTGGATGCATTGCTTTTGTTTTTACCTTTTTTCCTCGACCTTTCTTGCAGTTGAAAATGACTTTGCTCAAGGCATGACGGACACAACCCGAGTTTCTCTTTCGTTCTAGTTTTGTTGCACTTCCACTGTGAAAAGGCACTCAATACGTAAAAGTCAAACGACACCCTAAAAAGTCAGCGTTATTTGGTTGATTTAGAGTTTTGGCGAAGAATATAACTCAAAGGCTCGTATCAAATAGAACAAGAGATCTCCGCTGCATTTACCCCAACGGAAAAATATGTTATTTTTACATTTTTATTACATTTCCTATTATTGATTTTTGACATTTCTTTTGGTTTAATAAGTAAAGAAGAAAGATATTAGTGTTTTTGGATACAATTCTCTTTGGAGATTAGATGCTAAGAGTAGGTCAGTTTCCCTAGTGTATGACGATGTCTAACCGAACTTTTTTTTTTTTAAAGTACTACGCCGTATGAAATATATAAGCCATCTTTGTTTTTTTCCCGTGTTACATATTTTTATTTCTGAAAATCTTTTTTTTAGCTTAGTTAGATAGGGTAATTAATTTAATTTTTTTTTGTTCCTTTTCACAAGTGGTATATTGGAGACTTGGAGTTCTTACACTTACACGATTATTTTAAAATGTTATACATGCTGGCATATTATTTTATGAGCACTGTGTTGTACCAACTTTAAGATAAAAACAAATGAAATGAAGTAAAAGTAATAAAATCTGATAAACATTTTGATAATGACTACGAAAGAAAAGTCTACAGCATTTAATTAAAAGAGTGTTATACTTATACTTATACACTTATTATGCTTATAAAAAACGCGTAAAATAATCATCAAGTAGATGAATCTAAAACAGTAGTAGTTAAGTGTGAATGCTTGGCAATTAAGATTGTGTTGGGTCATTTATTAACAGTCTTTGACCACCCTCCAATTTAATTTTGGCTCTCTCTTCCATATCCTTTTCCTCTTCAATACTACCATGTATATATATCCTCCCCCAAGACCTCAAGATAAGATGATATAGTTCTCGCTTCTTCGCTTAAAAAAGATAACACATACATAATTGAATAAACAGCGGCTGAAAATTACTTACAACATCATCTAAAGATATAGTTATGCATGGCAAACTAAAGTATTATCTTCTTACTCACTTACACGTTCGAACATAGCATGATGGTCATATAAATCAGTAGATGTATGTGGGTGAGGTTATATAGTTTTTCTGATGGTTTAATGAGAAAGATGGATACTAAATGTTCATGTGCATGTGCATGTGCATGTGCATATAATAGTATACTAATCTCACCAGTAGGATGCTTAGTATAGCAATAAAGAGAAGGTGGTGAAATTGATGAGCATCGGTCATTAAATTAAGCACTGACCCATTAATTGCGCACTTACCCATAAACCCATCGACTTCTTTTTATTAAGTTGAATAAATTTATGTACGTATACATCTATCTCTTTTTCTATCAGGGTAGTCACTAGTGTACCCTTTTGGCACTCTTTCAAATTAAATGGTGTCGCAAATAATTGCATATGAAGATTTCTAACTAGGTCAATCCAACAGCCAATTTAATACGACCGTCCTTAGTGATTTCTAATTTAAGAGTGTCTATATATATGGACCGACAACATCAATAAGCTAACGTTTGACTATATGCCATGCATAATATTGCTGCTATTCATCCAATTAATCATCCATAATGTAATGGGCTGGCCTTTCTGATATATCTCAAGGCCCATACAGAGGCAGGCCAATCATGTAAAAAATAATTTAATAAATTAATTCGTTGAAGATGCCACGTACTGTCAGTATCATCTTCAATTCTTCACCACTCTGCTCCTCTTGTCCAACACCATCTCCTTTTTTTTTTCTTTTTTTTTTTTTCTGAAACCTTGTCTCAACACCGTCTTTCGAGCTCCGTTCCGTTTGGCAGTCAGTGTCTACGTTTTAACGCCATCTACTGACGGCATAATGCTAGGGAATATTCGTTCATCACATGGCCGCTTGTTCAACACGTGACTTTCAAGTTTCAAGCTTTTGTTTCCTTCTGAACTAAGGTTTTATTATTTTCCCCAACACTTTTATACTCAAAAGGAAAAAATGTCTACCTTTTTAGTTTTTATTACTGATTCAACTAGTACTTCTTTGTTTGGTTGAGTACTTTTTTATGGGTATGAAGAGTACCCTTTTTTTACTTTGTTTGATATTCTTTTTTCCTCGAGTCAGAACACAATTTTTTTATTTAAGGAAGAAAGAAAGAAGAAAAAAGAAGAAAAAAGAAAGAAATCGAAACGGATAATATACAGAGAATTTAGGGAGAGAGAGAGAGAGAGGGAGAGGAAAAAGGTTGTTTTTTTTGCCGACAAGGACGAGTGAAGTCGCGCATTTTTCCTTTCCTTTTTATTTATTTTATATTGGTGATAGTTTCTTCAGAAGCAACATCAATCATCAAAACGCGGCGGCTCTTGTCGTATCAACGCATAGAACGTTGTCGTTTTGGGTTTATCCTTATCTCTTGGGGCGACCAATAATTGCCTTTATTGATCATTTCCTCTCCCCTCCCTTTCTCGAGCTTTGTCTCTCAATTTTCTTCCTCTTTGGAGATATTTTTCCTTTGGCGAATCTTCCTCTTCCTAGATTCCAGCGGCAACAGATTCTATTCGTGGGAGATTCGAATTTGAGGGCCTCTGATGTGATCGGCGAGCTAGAGGAAAGGCGAGATAAATCGGAGATGGATCGAGCACCGGTGAGCTCAGGACCGATGGATATGCCGATTATGCACGACAGCGATCGATATGACTTCGTCAAGGATATTGGGTCCGGTAATTTCGGAGTGGCTCGCCTCATGAGGGATAAAGTCACCAAGGAGCTTGTTGCTGTCAAGTACATCGAGCGAGGAGACAAGGTTTTATTTTTCATATATTAAAAAAATCTCATTTTTCGTTTTTCTATATTTGGAAGCTGATGATTTTATTTAGTTCATTGATCGTTACAGTGTTGCTTTTGTTTCCACTTTTCAGATTTATCTAACGGTTTTTTAAAATTTTGTCACGGGATTTTCGATTTCACGTTTTACCGCTGTTTTTTTTGGGGGTTGGTATGCTAATTATTCGTCTTTTATGGTTACTATCCTTTGATGATGATGATGATGATTATGCTTTGTGAATTCAATTTGAAGATATGACTTCACTAATTTTCAACACTTCAATGATGATGATATGAGAATTGGCTGATAGGATTTTGTTGTTGTTGTTTTTATGCGTTTTTCAATGTTCTGGTTTTGCTGAGTTCTAACTATATGGTGATCAATCACGAGTTTCAGATTGATGAAAATGTTCAAAGGGAAATCATAAACCACAGGTCACTTAGGCATCCTAATATTGTCAGATTTAAAGAGGTAAATTAAACATGTTTCAGTTCTGCCTATAAGCCAGTGTGGTTTTAGCTTTGACAAACGGACGGTCTCTTTGTACTGAGGATAGGTCATTTTGACGCCGACTCATCTGGCTATCATAATGGAATATGCTTCTGGTGGTGAGCTTTATGAGCGGATTTGCAATGCAGGACGGTTTAGTGAGGATGAGGTTTGCATTTCTCTTAAGCTTCATTCTCTAATTTTTGTTTTAGGCGTCTCTGTTTTTTTTTTTTTTTAATTAAAAAGATATTTTTTTTACTTCTTCTTGTACAGGCTCGATTCTTCTTTCAGCAGCTTATATCTGGAGTCAGCTATTGTCATGCGATGGTATGTAGAGAAAATGTTGCTTAAGGACTTAGAATTTATATGTGTTGCTGTTGAGTGATTTATTCGTCTGTTACTTTATGAAGCAAATTTGCCATCGCGACCTGAAGCTGGAGAATACATTGTTGGACGGAAGTCCTGCACCTCGCTTAAAGATATGTGATTTTGGATACTCTAAGGTATTGTTTCTTATAAAATGTTGTCTTCTTCAATCCTCTGTTTAAGGTTATTGTGTCTTATCGTATGCATTTTTCGTTGACAGTCTTCAGTTCTTCATTCGCAACCAAAGTCAACTGTTGGTACTCCTGCTTACATTGCACCAGAGGTGCTGCTTCGTCAGCAATATGATGGCAAGGTAACAGCTTTTGAAAGAAATTCCTCTGTTATTTGCTTTTTTGTTTTCATGAATGAATAATCAGTTATAGAGTGTTGTTACAATACCAGATTGCAGATGTATGGTCGTGCGGTGTAACTTTATACGTCATGTTGGTTGGAGCTTATCCGTTCGAAGATCCAGAAGAGCCAAGAGACTATCGAAAGACGATCCAGGTAACAGCTTTAAAATTTGTTTCTTTGCTTATCTCTTGGTTATCCTCTGATCCTTATTATGATTCTAAAACCCAGAGGATCCTTAGTGTTAAATACTCAATCCCTGAAGACATACGGATTTCGCCTGAATGCTGTCATCTAATTTCAAGAATATTCGTGGCTGACCCCGCTACGGTTAGTCATTTCCTACTTTCTCATCTCTAATCTTTAACCATCGGTGAAAGTGACATTTTTTTGATGTTTGTTGTTGTGACAGAGGATTAGCATTCCAGAGATCAAAAACCATGATTGGTTCTTGAAGAACCTCCCAGCTGATCTTATGGACGAGAGCAACACAGGAAGCCAATTTCAAGAGCCTGAACAACCAATGCAAAGCCTTGACACAATCATGCAAATCATCTCTGAAGCCACAATTCCCGCTGTTCGAAACCGTTGCCTAGACGATTTCATGACCGACAATCTTGATCTTGACGATGACATGGATGACTTTGATTCTGAGTCTGAGATCGACATTGACAGTAGCGGAGAGATAGTTTATGCTCTGTAGTTTAAAAAAGCTTTTTATGACCAAAAACGCTGATCTTCAAGACCACTAGTGTCTGATCCTCTGCTTTTCTCTATCTGCCATTTTTGTTATGGGCTCATTGTCTGTTTGTTTGTTGTCTTTTTTCTTTTCTTTTCTTACATATACACATGTGCAATGTAAAATATCATATCTATATACATATATTTTCCAATGTTACAAACTTGCAAGACCTCACACACAAATCAAATATACTTCAGAACAGTTGAAGCAAGTTCAGGTTATGTTCTGTTTCCTCCTCTGTGATCGTCAGATTCTTCATTTTTGGTTTGAATCTTTCCCATAAGAACACAGTCCCTTCGTCGCATTTCACCTCTAGATTCTCTAGATTATTCACTGAATCTGGCAACTCGCATCGATAACAATCTCTCATCGAAATCTTCCTCAGTTTCTGCAACTTTCCAATCTCTAGAGGCAACTTTTTCAGTTGGAAGCATCCAGAAACATCTAGAAACCACAAGTTGCTGAGTCTCCCGATCGTTTCAGGAAGCTCAAAGAGATTACTGCAAGAACTCAGTCTCAGCATTTCAAGGTTCCTCAACTTGCCTATAGCTTCTAAGAGTCTGCCAAGCTTGTTACAATTTGTGATGCTAAGCTTCCTCAATGAAACAACTTGAGAAATCCAGTTAGGTAATTCAACAAGATTATAACAGTAATCAATATCTATTTCCTGTAAACTTTGTAGCGTTTCAGGAATATCAATTTCTAACTCTTTGAGAACCTCATCGACATGACACAACCATAAAGATAGCTTTTCAAGACTATTGAGCTGAAGTTTGGGAATGTCAAACAACGTGATTGAAGCTTTCTCTAATCTGATCCTTCTCAGGTTCGGTAATGAGCTCAGGCACGATAAATTGGTCAACTTTGTAGGTTCAAGACCGTGATTTATGATCACCACAACCTTCAGTTTCTTCATAGTAGCAATGAAGTTTGGTAATGCGTAGTTTGATGAAGAGAGATTAAGAACTAAAGCTTCAACATTTGGACAATCCATTTCAACCCAAACTGATGAAAATGAATCATCTGTAAATAGAAAAAGAAGAAGCTTAATCATGTAAAAGTTATGGAATATGGTTAAAGAGAGTATGAAAACAGAGTAAAGGAATAATTGTATTACCAGTAGAGATAGACAAGAGAGAGGCATTAATAATAACAGGCCGTTTTAGATTTAAACACCAGTTTGGGAATTTGTTCTCTTGTATATCCAAGTTTAATCTTTTCCTTTGGAGGATTGAAAACGACTCTTTGTCGCATTGATTTATAGCAAATTCTCTAAAGATATTGTCTTGTTTGACCAAGAGCTCATTGAAGAAACCATCTTCATACTCATTTTTCCTTATAATAAAGCAAGTATAAAACGGATAATTGAGAAACTATTAAAATGAAAAGAAAAAAAAATCAATTAAAAATGAGTATCTGTTTGAGCATAATATCAATTAAAAATAGGCCGAAACTATTAAAATGAAAAAAATATATATATATTGAGATAAAGAATTGGTAGATGAATAGAAAGTAACATACCCCAGAGGAAGAAGCTTAAGGAGATTGTGGGAGGCAAGGTCTTGGAGGTAATTCATGCAGATGATGTTCTCTTTGCTGTATAATCCAGACCATAAGTCTATTAATGTGGAGGCAATTATCTTCTGGTCTTTACGAAACGAGCCCATGTCCAAGAAACACTCTCTAATATTGTGGGTCAATGCATTGAAGCTTTGGATCCGATCCATAATGGTTCCTATGGATGGAGAGGAGTTTTCTGAAGTTAATATTAAACGCAGATAGCAGGAAGGAAATTTATAGAGAAATTTTCTCTTTTGACAGACATTGATTTTGTTGATTAACGTGGCTTTCCATGATTTATGAATATTTCTAACGAAAAAGTCACGCGATCCCAAAATACAAGTTTAAAAAGAAAAGGTAAAATGGTGACTTTGACAAACACACAAAAAAGCCAGAAACGTCGTAAGGTTTAAACAACTCTGTTTACGTACTAATTGAGTTAAAATATTGCAAAAAAATAATTATCAAACAAAAATCTCTTCATAAGAGTTTATTGATTGAATAACTGATGATTTTGCAGGAAAGTGTAAAAACAAATACCAAATTTTGTTTATAACAAAACCCTTAGTAACATGAGAGATTTTCTTGTATTTAATTGCTGTTTTGACTTCAGGATTTTTAAAGAGTTTACGAAGAGTATATTTTAGATCCAAAGTTTAAATCCAGTGTAAGTTATCATCTAACATCTGTTTCAAAATAATCAACGATTGTTATAAACAAATGGACTTCTAGTAACCGGCCCATTAACCATCAGGTTAATGTCTCATGACCCATTAGAATTTCTGATACATTAGTTATGTAATGTATATATACACTGCTTGTGGAAATAATAAGATTAGAGTTTTTCCCTTAATACGTTATCAGCACGAAGCTCAACTTCAAACGATCATATCTCTCAAAATACAAGGAGTTAGAAGGCGATCTACATATCATTTTGAAGCCCTGGAAGAGAAGAATCTAGTGGTGAAAACCGCTCCTCAATCCGACACCAGATGCGCCCTCAATACTCAAAACAATCGGCGCTGTCCCACCTTAGCGGGTGATTCTTTCCAAGCGGTGGTTCCTCCATTGTAGCAGCTGTTCGTCCTCCCTTCTGGCCATCATTCTCAGGAGTTTCCAGTAGATATCTGTGGTCTTTAGCTCCCAGATCATAAGCCGGTCAGAAATCCATTTGGCGAAAAGATGTCAAACATTCAGAAGGTCGAATATGAGGCACTCACTGTCTCCGGAGATAACTACCTCAAATGGGCCCTTGACACCAAGATCTACCTCAACTCAAAAAGTCTGGGTGAATGCATCAAAGATCCCAACACCGCGACTCAAACATAACGGTACTCGGCGATATTTATTATCCGCCATCACCTCGCTGAGTCTCTCAAGCAACAATACCTCACTCTTGAGGATCCACTCGAACTTTGGGTGGCACTGAAAAAGCGATATGACCATCAGAAAACGGTCATACTGCCCCAAGCCAAGTTCGACTGGAAGAACCTACGGTTCGAAGATTTCAAATCCGTTAAAGAATTCAATTCTGAACTCTTTTAGATAGTTGCACTCATAAAACTATGTGGTGAGGAGGTCACTGATAAGGATATGCTAGAGAAAACATTCTCTACTTTTGGCACTCCCAATGTTGTTCTCCAACAACAATACCGTGCCATGAATCATAGCACCTATGAAGATTAGATATCTTGCTTACTGCTTGCTGAGAAAAACAATCAGCTTCTGTTGAGGAACAGCCCCATTGCCAGAAGGAACCAGAAAAGAGTCCAACTTCGTCCAACGTAACAGATCCTCAGATCGTGGACGTGGACGTGGAAATGGACATGGACTGCGCGGCAGAGGACGCGGTAGACCGAACCAAGATAACCGACCTAACCTCAGTTTTGGTCGGGGTAAGGGTCGTGGTATCAACAAACCGACCCAAAGAGGCAGTTCATCTAGACCAACTCCTTGCTCAAGATGCGGAATGACTAATCATTGGGTCAAGATCTGCCGTACTCCCAAATATCTTGCTGAGCTCTACCAGAAGTATGGGAAAGATAATCATGAGGCTAACCTGGTTCATCAATTCAATGAAGATGACTCAAAGGATGATAAGATTGATGGCATGGATTATGAGCTCTCCGACCTCCTTGATTGATCTCAAAAATCTGAATTTATTTTTCATTACTCCTTAAACTTTTATCTTTTGTTTTTTTGGGATTTATTGTCTTTACTTTGGATTTTTAAGACCTTTTGCTTTTACATTTTAATTTATGGAGTAATGTTTTATTTACATCTCATTTTTGCATGTTATTGAATTATAATTCTTGTTTAATAAAGATATGCAAGACAATATGGATATCATTGTGGATAGTGGATCGAGGCACACCATTCTAAAAGACAAGAATTACTTCATAAATTTAGTAATCAAAACCGCAAACATTAGCACTATAGCGGGTAGTTCGAGCCTAATAGAGGGCCATGACCAAGCTAATGTGCTGTTATCTAATGGCACATATCTAGACATCTCTGATGCCTTATACTCACCCAGTTCTAAGAGAAACCTATTGAGTTTCAAAGACATAAGATTGAATGGTTTCCATATCGAAACTCAGGATGAAGGGAACAAAGAGTTTTTAATTATCACTAAAATGATAAATGGCCATAAACAAGTTTTTGAAATTATACCCGCCGTATCTACTGGCATTTACCATGCTAAAGTCAGTATGATTGAGGCTAATGCTGCTATCAAAGCACGGTTTTTAGATTACACTATTTGGCATGATCGCCTGGGTCATCTCGGTGCGAACATGATGCGTAAATTAGTCCAGAATTCTAAAGGGCACAGCCTTAAACCAAATGGTATTTTCCCTCAGCACCTCAAGTGCACAGCTTGCTCACAAGGGAAACTGATTACCCGACCTTCACCAGTCAAAGTGTCTAAAGAGACCTTGAACTTTCTGGAAAGAATCCAAGGAGACATATGTGGACCAATTCACCCACCTTGTGGGACATTCAGATATTTCATGGTCCTCATTGACGCATCGACCCGCTGGTCGCATATTTGTCTGCTCTCTTCTAGGAACCAGGCTTTTGCTAGGTTATTGGCCAAATCATCAGATTACGAGCCCATTTTCCAGACTTCCCATTAAAGACTATACGTCTTGATAATGCTGGTGAATTCACTTCTCAAGCGTTTAATGAATATTGTATGTCCATGGGGGTAAGTGTTGAACATCCCGTTCCACATGTCCATACACAAAATGGATTAGCTGAATCCTTCATTAAACGAATTCAATGGGTTGCTAGACCATTACTCATGAGGTCACAACTCCCGGTCTCAGCTTGGGGACACACAGTCTTACATGCCGCTGAACTAATACGCATACGACCATCTAGTGAGCACAAATATTCACCATCCCAATTGCTAACGGGTCATGAGCCAGACGTCTCCCATATTAAAACATTTGGGTGTTCAGTCTATGTACCCATTGCACCACGACAGAGGACTAAAATGGGACCTCAAAGGAGGATGGGAATATATGTTGGTTTTGATTCTCCCACCATCATAAAATATCTCGAGCCAACTACAGGAGATCTGTTTAAAGCCAGATATGCAGATTGCCGATTTGATGAATCGGTATATCCTAGATTAGGTGGTGAGACAGACAAGCTGGTAAAAGAACTTTCATGGAATCAAACATCCACACAATGGCAAGATCCTCGGACTCTAGAATGTGATTCAGAGGTCCAAAGAATTATACATTTACAAAAGCTAGCTAATCAATTGCCAGATTCCCTTGCTGACCCGAACAAAGTTACCAAATCGTACATACCAGCTTGTAATGCACCAGTACGAATAGATGTTCCCTCAGGGAAAAGTCAAGTTGCTACAGAGTCTGACGCACGTAAGAAACGTGGCAGACCACCAGGTTCCAAAGATAAGAATCCCCGGAAATCAAAGAAAGGTGCAATGATTGAAACCAGGATTCAAGAGAACACGGATACAGCCTCAGCTGATACTTACCCTATCGAACCATCTCAAGAGGTTTGGGACGCCAAAACTCAAGGTTCTGAAGGGATTGATAATAATGAGATCTCAATTAATTATATCATATTCGGTTCTCTATGGAACAGAAAAGATGTCGACATCAATGAAACTTTTGCATACAAGGTAGCACTTGAGATTGCGCACACGCAAGAGGATCTAGAACCCACGTCTATAATTGAGTGCACTCGTAGATCAGATTGGCTGAAATGGAAAGAAGCCATAAACGTGGAGTTGAATAGTTTAAACAAACGGAATGTGTTTGGTCCGATCTTAAGGACATCATTCGATGTTAAACCAGTGGGAAACAAATGGGTCTTTGTGCGTAAAAGAAACGAACTCGGCGAAGTCGTTAGATACAAGGCACGCCTTGTAGCACAAGGATTCTCACAGAGACCCGGAATCGATTATGAGGAGACTTATTCTCCAGTGGTGGATGCAACTACATTTCGATTCCTCATAAGTCTAGCCATAAGAGAAAACTTAGATTTGCGGTTAATGGATGTTGTAACCGCATATCTTTATGGACCACTGGACAGTGAAATCTATATGAGATTACCAGATGGTATTGAGCTCAAAGATAAGCATGCATCTCGTGATAAACACTGCATTAGGCTGAACAAATCCTTATATGGACTGAAACAAAGCGGACGTATGTGGTATAACCGGTTAAGCGAATATCTCATCAGAGAAGGCTACGAAAACGATCCGATCAGTCCATGCATCTTCATCAGAAAATATCAAAACAAAGGATTTGTAATCATAGCAGTATATGTGGATGACTTGAACATCCTCGGAACATCTGGTGAAATCGCCCAAACAGTTGAATGCTTAAAAGCAGAGTTTGAAATGAAAGACCTAGGCAAAACTAAATTCTGTTTGGGATTACAACTTGAGTACGTCAATGACGGAATCCTTGTGCATCAATTGGCATACACTGAAATGGTACTCAAGAGATTCAATATGGACCAGGCCCACCCATTGACCAGCCCAATGGTTGTGAGGAGCCTTGGATTGGATAGTGATCCATTCGGTCCAAAGAAGGACGATGAAGAAATCCTCGGTCCTGAAATGCCATACCTCAGTGCCATAGGTGCATTAATGTACTTGGCTAGTCACACTAGACCAGACATCTGCTTTGCCATGAGCCTCTTAGCTCGCTTTAGTTCGTGTCCAACTCAAAGGCACTGGAACGGTATTAAGCACATCCTTAGATACCTTCAAGGTACTAAGGACTTGGGATTATTTTATTCTAACCATAACAAGGATGGTCTAGTTGGTTTTGCTGATGCAGGATATTTGTCAGATCCGCACTGTGCCCGGTCTCAAACCGGTTATGTTTTCACGCATGGAGGAACAGCCATATCTTGGAGATCCATGAAGCAGACTATTGCCGCTACCTCATCCAACCATGCGGAAATCTTGGCCATTCACGAAGCTAGTAGAGAGTGTGTTTGGTTGCGGTCCATGACTCAGCATATCCGATCAGGTTGTGGTATGGACGAAGATAAGGAGCCTACGGTGATGTATGAAGACAATGCAGCTTGTATCGCTCAACTCAAGGACGGCTACATCAAAGGTGACCGGACGAAGCATATTCTGCCCAAATTCTTCTTCACTCATGAGCTACAGAAGGATGGTCAGGTCAAGGTTCAGCAAGTCCGATCAAGCGAAAATTCAGCCGATCTATTCACTAAATCATTACCGACTTCTACACTCCGGAAGCTCATTCATCAGATAGGAATGCGTAGACTTAGAGATCTACAGTGATGCCTAAACCAGGGGGAGTAATGCGTGTTGTACTCTTTTTCCTTCATCATGGTTTTTCCCACTGGGTTTTCCTGGTAAGGTTTTAATGAGGCAACGTTCCCCAGCGCATTATAGAGATCCCGGTTTTGTGACAGGCACGGTTACCTTATCTAAGGGGGAGTGTTATAAACAAATGGACTTTTAGTAACCGGCCCATTAACCATCAGGTTAATGTCTCATGGCCTATTAGGATTTCTGATACATTAGTTATGTAATGTATATATACACTGTTTGTGGAAATAATAAGATTAAAGTTTTTCCCTTAATAACGATTTATTTATTAATTTATTGTTTGAGAAAGAGTTATCAACAATTTATTTACATTAGATGTAAGCTTTAGAAGAAGGTTTTGAAAATATAACAAAAGAAATTAAAAAGTTCGAAACTATATTGCAGTGTGAAAGAAGCATACAACATTTTATTGTATTTACTACAATGGATGATGAGAATAACAACATTACAAGACCCACACATGCTATGAAAACGTTCTTTTTACTCGCAACTTAACAAAAGCAAGTTCAAGTTGTGCTCTGTTTCCTCCTCTGTGATTGTCAGATTCTTCATTTTTGGTTTGAATCTTTCCCATAAGAACACAGTCCCTTCGTCGCATTTCACCGTCAGATTCTCTAGATTATTCACTGAATCTGGCAACTCGCATCGATAACAATCTCTCATCGACATCTTCTTCAGCTTCTGCAGCTTCCCAATCTCTAGGGGCAACTTTCTCAGTCCTAAGCAATGAGAAATATCCAGAAACTGCAAGTTGCTGAGTCTCTCAGTGGTTTCAGGAAGCTCGGAGAGATTGATACAAGAACTCAGCCTCAACACTTCCAACTTACTCAAGTTGCCTATAGCTTCTGGAAGTTTGGAAAGCTTATTACAGTTTGTGATGCTGAGTGTCTTCAATGAAACAACTTCAGAGATCCAATACGGTAACTCATCGAGATCATAGCAATAGTCTATGTCAATCTCCTGCAAACTCAGAAGAGTTTTAGAGACATCTATTTCTTTTGAGTCGTGGGAAACCTCACCGAATCTACACATGACCAGAGACAGCTTCTTGAGACTGCCGCGTTGCAACTGTAGAATGTCCAGCAAAGTGATTGAAACTTTCTCCAACCTGATCCGTTTCAGGTTTGGTAACGAGCTGAGACAAGACAAGTTGGTCAATTTTGCAAGATCATGGCCGTGATTTATGATAACCAAAACCTTCAGTTTCTTCATTGTAGCAATGAAGTCTGGTAATGCATAGTTTGATGAAGAGAGATTAAGAAGTAAAGCCTCAACATTGGGGCAATCCATTTTCACCCAACTCGATGTAAATGAATCACCTGTAACCAATAAAAGAAAAGGCCAAGCATAGTTATAGGACCAAACAGTGGATATAATTAACTATCTATGTTACAACAGCTTTTCTTGGAAAAAGGACCTGAAAGAAGTTACCTGTAGAGATAGACAAGAGGCGTGCTTTAACAGGGTGGTCCATTAGTGGATAGTCATCTTCATGTATCTCCAAATTTAGTCTTTTTCTTTCCAGGATTGTTTCCAATTCACTTTTATGGATAGACAGCTCCCTCAGGAGATCATGTTGAGTGACTAATAGCTCATTGTAGTAACCATCTTCGTGCTCATTTCTGCTGAAAAAGCAAAGAAACATGTTGATCAAATAGTAGATTTGAAGGAGGCAAAGACATAGTACGTTGATACATACCCGAGAGGAATAAGTTTAAGCAGATGCTGGGAAGCAAGGTCATCGAGGTACTTCATGTACACGACGTGACTACTAGTGTTACCTTTACCGTATAGTTCCATCCATATGTCAATTATTACCGAAGCACGTATCTTTTGGTCCTCAAGAAATAAGCCCATGTCCAAGAAACACTCTTTAAGATTAGATTTCAGGGCATTGAAGCTAGGCTGCAGACGATCCAGCACAGTAGAATCAGGATTATCAAGAATGGTACTACTCTCTTGAGACCAGCTTTCCACCTGGCCTTTCCATATATGTAAAGGTTGTCCTTTAAGTGAAGAGCCGACTACTTCAATTACGATTGGGAATCCACTGCAACGTTTCAATATCTGCAAATCCTCACCATGGGAAAAACAGAAAGATGATGAACCTATTGTTTCTTCCCTCAAAAAAAAGCTTAAAACTAGAAGGTAAATCATTTTTTTTTTGGTTCTCCAGAGAGATGAATGTATAGTAATACGTTTTGGAGAAGATCTTCGTACTAAGCTGGAGACGCGTTATAAGGCCGCGATGCCCATTGAATGAGAAGGGACTTAGCATGTTCACCTTCCAAAGGTTCCAAACGATGACTGGAACCAAAACGCGGTAAGTCGAACCGAGAAGTCACCAAAATCTTATAACCTGGTAACTTAATCCGAAATTTCTTAAGAAGCGAGAACTCCGCTCCACTCCACACATCATCCAAGACCAACAATACAGGACCGTCTTCTATGAGTTCCTGAAGCAGTTTTTCTAAGGCAAAAGTTGCTTGAGAATCGTTGTCAAATGTATGTGGAGGGTAACCGTTGTGCTGGAGTAGATTCTGTACTATGACCCTAAAGTTAGGAGTACTTGACACAACATTAAAGAAGACATGCGTGAACTTTCCTGTAAAATGGAAATACGAAATTTGTAAACTACTAAGATGAAAACATTAAAGAAGACTCAATGCGAATATATATACCTTTGATCTCTTGGTCGTGGCAAAGCTGAGTAACGAGCGTGGTCTTTCCGCATCCCGGAGGAGCGGACACCAGAAGACTGTCCACAGAATCATAAAGGAGCTTCTTTCTTAGCTTCATCAATGGCCAATCCAATCCAACAGGAACTAAATCAAGCTTGCGAACCGAACAAAGATCCCTCCTAAAAACAGGTGGTGCTTGAGCAATCAAAAGTTCAAGGGCTTGGACAGAATTTGTAAGGTCTTCCACGGTATGCTCAATCAGCCCTTGGTTCCTAAGCAGAAATAGCTGTACTTGAATCTGACAAAAGCTTAGAAACTTCCTATTGATTTTCTCAATTTTTCTTGTATAAATAGATTTTGAGATTACATCCCATCGCTTGACGCGGGAACACTCCAGTACAACCGCACCAGCTTTATCGATCGTATCAATCAGAGTCTTTAGTTCCTCAGGATCTTGCCGCGACTCGATCTGTTCGATTATCGGATGCACTTCCTTCATCGTCGATGCGAGCGTCGTTAACACAGATGTGAACGACAACACCTTCTTCGCTTCCTTGATCACGGCTTTCAGGAGCTCAGATGCTACAGCTCCTCCAGCAGCACCTATGACTATTTCAGCCGTCTTGCTCATCCTTGTTTCTCTTCTTTCAGCTCACAGAAATCAGCAAAAAAGTAGACAAAACACACTCAAATTCTGAACAAGATAGACAAGTCAAAAGCTTTAAAGGAAAGCAATCCCATAGCCGTTGACTCCTGCCTCCTGCCTCCTGCATTGCATCGCATTTGGCGCGTAATTACCTGGAAATTGCGTTTGCGTCAAAAGAATTCATCAAATTAAGCCTTGATAATATGGGCCCACAAAACAAAACGCGTTTCTGAGAAAAGCTTTTACAATTATCTGACATCACTACAATACAACGCTTGACATCACTACAATTCTTTCGCATTGCTACGCAATTACCTGGAAATTGCGTTTGGGTCTTCCCGTCCATATCGTCAAGAGAAATCGTCACTCAAATAAGCCTTGACATACGATATCATAAGGGCCCTCAAAACAAAACGCGTTTCTGAAACGTTACAGACTTTATGAAAATGTTCTTTCACTCACAGTCACACCTTAAAACATTTGAAGCAAGTTCAGATTATGCTCTGTTTCCTCCTCGTGAACTCTCAAATTTTTCATTTTTGGCTTCAACTTTTCCCACAAGATCAACACAGTTTCTTCGTCGCATTTCACCTCCAGATTCTCTAGATTCCTCACTGAATCTGGCAACTCGCATCTCCAACACTTGCTCATCGACATCTTCTTCAGCTTCTGCAGCTTCCCAATTTCTAGAGGCAACTTTCTCAGTCCTAAGCAATGAGATATATCCAGAAACTGCAAGTTGCTGAGTCTCTCGGTCGTTTCAGGCAGCTCCGAGAGATTGATACAAGAACTCAGCCTCAACACTTCCAACTTACTCAAGTTGCCTATAGCTTCAGGAAGTTTAAAGAGCTTGCTACAATTTGTGATGCTAAGTGTTTTCAATGAAACCACTTCTGAGATCCAATACGGTAATTCATCAAGATCATAGCAATAGTCTATGTCAATCTCCTGTAAACTCGGCAGAGCTTTAGAGACATTTATTTCTTCTATGTCGTAGAAAACTTCACCGAAACTACACATGACCAAAGACAGCTTCTTGAGACTGCCGAGTTGCAATTGGAGAATGTTTAGCAAAGTGATTGAAACTTTCTCTAATCTGATACGATTCAGGTGTGGTAATGAGCTGAGACACGAGAAATTTCTCAATCTTGCTGGATAAAAACCGTGATTTATGATTATCAGAACCTTTAGCTTCATCATCCCAGCAATGAAGCTTGGTAATGCATAGTCTGGTGAAGAGAGATTAAGAACTAAAGCTTCGACATTGGGGCAGTCCATTTCAACCCACTTCGATGAGAAAAAATCATCTGTAAAAAAAAAAAAAAAAAAAAAAAGAAGAAAGACAAAGCATAGTTATAGGAAAGTCATATTTCTCGAAACTGCAGAAAATTGTACAATCACTATGTTTCAATTGTCTGAAAAGAGGAGCAGAAAAGAATTACCCGTAGTGATAGACAATAAAGAGCCATTAATTATAGGCTGCTTTAGGTTCAAAAACCAGTCTGAAAATTTGTCCTCTCTTATCTCCAAATTTAGTCTTTTCCTTTCCAAGATTGCTTCCAATTCGCTTTGATAAATAGACAGCTCCCTCAGGAGATCATGTTGAGTGACTAATAGATCATTGTAGAAACCGTCTTCGTGCTCATTTCTGCTTATAAAGCAAAGAAACAAGTTGATCATATAGTAGATGGCAAGACGGAGACAAAGACACAGTACGTTGACAAATAAACAACATACCCGAGAGGAATATGTTTAAGCAGATGCTGGGAAGCAAGGTCACTGAGGTATTTCATGTACACGTAACTACTATTAGTGCTACCTTTACCGTATAGTTCCATCCACATGTCAATTATGACAGAAGCACGTATCTTTTGGTCCTCGAGAAACAAGCCCATGTCCAAGAAGCACTCTTTGAGATGGGGTTCCAGGGCACTGAAGCTAGGCTGCAGACGATCTAGCACAGTAGAATGAGGATTATCAAGAATTGTTTTCCCTTGAGACCAGCTTTCCACCTGGCCTTTCCATATATGTAAAGGTTGTCCTTTAAGTGAAACGCCGACTACTTCAATTACGATTGGGAATCCACTGCAACGTTTCAATATCTGCAATTCCCACCATGTGAAAAAACAAGATAAAAAAACAAAAAGATGATGAATCTATTGTTTCATCAGAAAGAGAGAATCAAAGCTTAAAACGTGAAGGTAGAATCAGAATCAGAAAAATTATCGTTATCTCAGATTTGTAAGATCACAAATGTATAGTATCTTAGAGATAAAAGCTAATACCTTTTGGAGAAGATCTTCGTACTCAGCTGGAGACGCATTATAAGGCCGCGATGCCCATTGAATGAGAAGGGCTCTGGCATCTTCATCTTCTAAAGGTTTCAAATGATAACTGGAACCAAAGCTCGGAAATTCAAACCGAGAAGTCACCAAAATCTTATAACCTGGTAACGTAATCCGAAATTCCTTAAGAAGCGAGAACTCCGCTCCACTCCACACATCATCCAAAACCAACAATACAGGACCACCTTTTATGAGTTCCTCAAGAAGTTTTCTTAAGCCAACAGCTGCTTGAGAATCGTTCTCAAATGTATGTGGAGGGTAACCGTTGTGCTGGAGTAGATTCTGTACTATGACCTTAAAGTTAGGAGTACTTGACACAACATTAAAGAAGATATGCTTGAACTTTCCTGCCAATGGAAATTAGATATATGAGAAACAAGAACAACACTTCAAGTGTAAAGATGGAAACTTTTTAAGATCTATACCTTTAATCTCTTGGTCGTGGCAAAGCTGAGTAACGAGCGTGGTCTTCCCGCAGCCGGGAGGAGCAGACACCACAAGATTAACCACGGCACTGTCAAGGAGTCTCTTCTTTAGCTCCATCAATGGCCAATCCAAACCGACGAGTACCTTGTCAAGCTTGGGAACAGAACAAAGATCCCTAAAAACGGGCACAGGAACACTCAAGCCATCCATTCTCCTACTTAGACCGTCCACCTTTTCCAGCAGTGACAACTGGTTCCTATACTGAAGAAGCTGTAGATCAATGTCACAAAACTTGACCATCTCCTCATTGATTCCCTCAATTTTTCTGGCATATATAGTTTTCTGGTACCATCGGACCCCTGGAAACTTGAGAACCAGTACGCGAGCTCTTTCGATCGTATCCCTCAGTTCCTTTAGCTCACCCACGCGAAGGTCTAGCTCGTTTTGCATCGAATCGATCTTTTCGGTCAACGGAACCAATCTCTCCATCGTCGATACGAGATCCTTGGACAAGGGTTTGAAAGATTTGAACTTCTTTGCCTCTTCGATCACTAATTTTAGAGCCTCAGAGACCAAAGCTCCCCCAACAGAACCTACTCCCAAATCAACCCAATCGGTCATTTCTTGGTTTTTCTTCCTTCACTTCCTCACAAAATTTAGCCAAACAGAGAGAAAACCCCAAAGGAGAAAACCAAATTTGGAAAACGATAGTAGAATTCGAAAAGCTTAGCTTAATTGCAACGCTTTAGAGAAAAAACGATTAACAAGGTAGGCGAAGTCAAAAGCTTTAGCTTAATTGCAAAGCCGTCCCCTTGCCATTGACTCAAGTATATCTGAAAATTTTCCCTTCCTGCTTCCCCACTTGCCGCGCATTTACCTGGAATTTGCGTCTGCGTCTGCGTCTGCGTCTGCATCTGCGTCATCAATTGGTAGACGGAGCGCGTGCGCACGTATGCCTTTCTTGATTATAGGCCATCATTTATTGGGGCCCAACCACTCAAATAAGGCCCATAAAACAAAGAGAAATGCATATGTTTTTTTTTTGTCAACAAAAATTCGTAACTAAAGAGACTTCATAATTTTAATATGAAATCACTTCAATACAATGGCTCGTAGACATGGCATGTGACTGTCCATTATTGTGAGAGCTTCCACATGTCCGAATAGGGTCAGCCCATGTTGACTCTTGTATGTCACTTGGTTAATCTTTCATTATTGATTAGTAGACAAGAAGAGAAAAATAATCAAAATTAGTGGTTGATACTTCTTTTTAATCAAAACAATGATCCTTAATCAACTACTCCCCACATGCTTCCTAGTTTGTCCTGAAAATCCTCCCACACATCATTGATCTTCTTAATGTCTCTATGTATAAGATTTTTTTTTTATAACTGTCTTCTTCGGTAGATTCGTATATTATGTACTAACGATCAAAATTCATAACAGTTTGAATACACAAGTGACTAATTAATATGTCTTAATCATTTAGCTATACTTTTATAAACAATGGAGTTGCGTTTTGATATGATCCGTCAATGTATATAATTGGAGTATGTTTCTTTTTTGGGTAAATAAACATTCTAGATTTCTGTATCATTTCAAGAATTATATAGTCCGTCAAGTCAGTCGGTGGAACCGCGAGTTTCAAAATCTTAAATTGTATCCAAACAAATAAAATGATCTTTAATCAGACTTGCTGTAATAATCAGCAAAAGCGGCACAGTTTTCAACAAGGCAGATGACCATAACAATTATAAAAGAAATACTACTAGTATTTTGAATCTTAAAATTCTCATTTTCAAACTCTTATTGTAAAAACTAGAAAGTTCGTTTATAATTGGTGCCAAGAAATAGGAAAAAAGCTTCATTGGTCGTCAGCGCGAAGGAAACTGCAAAAGGGCGAATCTAATTAGCGGCGATAAATTAGGACATAAATATTTCCGCAAAGCCTCTCTTGTCTTTTAGTCATTTTCTTTCCCTTTCTTTTTTTTTTTGTTTTCTAATTTAAAATTAATAACATTTACCTTTTTGTGGTATCGTTATCGGAATAGTCGAATAATGATAGCTAAGCTTTGGCTGGAAGCAATAATCATAACCAAAACGCGTGAAAACCATTCAATTCCGTTGTCACCGCCTTATCCACTATCACATTAACAACTCTATCGTAATTTTATTTTCCTCAATACTGTTAACTGTAGTAAACGAAAACAAAGTCTATATTTTTACAACAGACCAAACCAACCAGCAATTCATATATGAATGAAACTGAGATATACCCTTAAATTCTAATTTGCCGACAAAGATGTATATTTTGTAGACAGGAAATATGTGCTTAAAATAAATTCAAGGGGGGTGTAAAAACTAAAAAGTTGTTGAAGTTGATTTATGAAGAGTTGAATTATAGTATTTCTTTGACCAAACGAAACATCAATTAAAAGCGAAAAACTCACTCGAAATCTAACACTGTCATTGATTGGAACCACCTTTGTTACTTTTCCTCTCCCTTACTTATGTCACCTTCAACTTTCGCTATCTAATTGCATTTTTATAGATCAAAGTCCCTACATTTCTCAAACCCATTTAGAAAAAAAAAAAAAATTGAGCTGTCTTCAGTCTTCTTGTCTGTACACTTCTTTTAGGAAGCCATGAAAATGGCAAGAGTACGAACAACATCATCCTTGTTCCATCTTCTTGGAGCTTTGGCTTTGTTGAGCAGTTTGGTGATAGTGAAAGGAGAAAGCCCTTACAAGTTTTACACTTGGACTGTGACTTATGGCATTATCTCTCCTCTTGGTGTTCCTCAACAGGTACAAAGTACACAACAGCCGTTTTTACTTATGGACAGTTTGAGATCCATTTTTTGGTTTGATGCTCAGACCTTTTTTAACTCTTTATTGATGTTTTGTTTGTCTGCTTGGTTGTTTAGGTTATTCTCATCAATGGACAGTTTCCTGGTCCCAAGCTTGATGTTGTGACTAATGACAACATCATCCTCAACCTCATCAACAAACTTGACCAGCCTTTCCTCTTGACCTGGTACTTTTATATTTCTGATTCATAAACCCAAAAGATTTAAACTTTTCCTTTTTCACATGTTTCCCAATAGAATGAAGCCTCTGTTTTGTGTAATCCAGTTGATCAATGTATTTTGTATTACTACTAAAGTACTAATTTAACACCTAGTTTGGGGATTAGGGTTACCCTCAATCCAATGAAAGGTCTGATCTTTTTAGGGTTTATACTCGAAAAGCTGAAAACTTTGTCGATCAATTTATTAAGGTTCTACGGTACTAGGGTCATATTCTTAAATGTGTATCTGATTAATTTATTTTCCAATGTTTTGTGGGTCAGGAATGGAATCAAGCAAAGGAAGAACTCATGGCAAGATGGTGTAATGGGGACAAACTGTCCAATCCCACCAAACTCAAACTTCACTTACAAATTCCAAACGAAAGATCAGATCGGAACTTACAATTACTTTCCTTCCACCGCTTTTCACAAAGCCGCCGGTGGGTTCGGAGCCATCAATGTCTATGCAAGACCTGGAATCCCGATCCCTTACCCTCTCCCAGTTGCTGATTTCACTTTACTCATTGGTGATTGGTTTAAAACCAACCACAAAACACTTCAACAGCGTTTGGATTCTGGTGGGGTTCTTCCATTTCCAGATGGAATGCTCATTAATGGACAAACCCAATCAACATTTACTGGCGATCAAGGTGAATTGTGAATCCCTCATCTTTCCACAAAACTTTTTCTTTGAATCGACTTCTGGTGTTTTACTTTCTTTGTCACTGTATGGTTTTTAATCTTCTAGGGAAGGCTTACATGTTCAGAATCTCCAATGTTGGGTCATCAAGCTCTTTCAATTTCAGAATCCAAGGACATACAATGAAAGTAGTTGAAGTTGAAGGCTCTCATGTTATTCAAAACGATTACGATTCTCTTGATGTTCATGTTGGACAGTCTTTGTCAGTTCTTGTGACCTTAAACCAATCTCCTAAAGATTATTACATCGTGGCAAGCACCCGGTTCGTAAGATCCAAACTTTCTGTTACGGGTCTGCTGCGATATTCCAACTCCCGCGTCCCAGCTTCTGGTGATCTGCCCGCTCTTCCGCCTGGAGAGTTGGTTTGGTCCATGAGACAAGCCAGAACGTTCAAGTAAAAAGAGACATTACTTACTTCTGAAGAACGTTGAAACGTTTAGTCATTTATTAACGGTGTTCTTCTTTTTGGGATTTTAGGTGGAACTTAACAGCAAATGCAGCGAGGCCAAACCCTCAAGGATCATTCCACTACGGAAAAATCATTACAACCAAGTCGTTTGTTTTCTCAAATTCAGCTCCTTTGATCAACGGAAAGCAACGCTATGCAGTAAACGGCGTGTCTTATGTGAACTCAGAGACGCCTCTTAAACTCGCTGATCACTTCAAGATCGAGGGAGTTTTCAGCACCAATTCTATTCAGAGTGTCCCTTCCAACTCCCCTGCAACTGTTGCAACGTCAGTTGTTCAAGCATCTCTCCATGATTTCCTTGAAATCGTGTTTCAGAACAATGAGAAATCAATGCAGTCTTGGCATCTTGACGGTTATGACTTCTGGGTCGTTGGGTGAGCCTTCCTTCTTCTTGCATCGTGCTTATGCTTTTTAACTACAAGTCAGGTTTTGGCTAACCGTTTCTTTGTTCTGGATCTAGATTTGGTTCTGGACAGTGGACACCTTCAAAAAGACCACTTTACAATCTTGCTGACGCTCTGACCAGACACACAACTCAGGTGAGAAAAGAAAATGGATAAATTGAAAAGGAAAAAAGAAAAGTCAGAAACTTTGAGGTGTTTATTGTGTTCTTGATGTGTTCTTGGGCATAAATGCAGGTCTACCCAAATTCTTGGACAGCAATCTTGGTGTCTTTAGACAATCAAGGAATGTGGAATATGAGATCGGCGATATGGGAAAGACAATATTCAGGACAACAGTTTTATCTCAAAGTATGGGATCCAGTGCAGAGTCTTGCCAATGAATACAATCCTCCTGATAATCTTCTTCTCTGTGGCAAAGCTATCGGAAGACACCAGTAGAGAGATCCTCTTATAGTTTTCTCTGGTCTTTGTTTTGAAAGGTTTATCGATTCAATTTGGTTGGGATTTTGGGTTTGTTCTTTCCGGTCATGAGAGTATGGCTGGTGGGCTTATTTGCATTTTTAGTAAACACAGAGAAGAGAAAAGTTAATGTCTTTGGTAAGGTTTCTTCAGATTGGAGTTTTCAAAATAATGTTTTGTACAATTATATCAAAAGTGTTCTTTCTAATCCAAATATATTTATTTTACTATGATCGGAGAGGTTATTCGACTGTAACTTGTTACAGATTTTAGAATATGGCAAACTCTAATCTGCTCTAAAGGGAGTGCTATATGCGGATTTGACCACTGTAAAAGATACATTTTTATTAACAAAAAAGGGATGGTGGTTTTTCGAACATATAATCATTATACTAGACCTCGTCATAATTGTGAAGCTTAGAAAGAGAAATTATAAAATTTCATAACATCTTGTCTTTTTAGACAAGTTGACAACATCTTGTCTAATGAACTTCATATACATCTTTTATCTTTTTTTAGTGAAATCAGCAATCGATCCAGTGAGAACTTCATAAACACAAAAATAATTTTTCACGTTTTAGATCGTGGGCCTATTTATCTAATCAAGAAGGCCCAATTAAGCCCAATACATACGGTAGCAAAAGAAAGCCTGGAAAGTTGACAACTCCTGCAAATTTGGGTGAAGACGGTTTTGCCTAAATCAAACGGAGAGAAGAAGAAAAAGGTTGCAAGTTTCGACGATCATACATCAATCTCAGGAACCACTCCTTCTTCTCGAAGATTCAGAAACTCTCCTTCTCGATTTTTTCTTCTGTGAAAATGAATTGCGAAGTTTGCCAGCTCAAGGAACTGGTAAAATTTTCGTCTAGATCAGTCCAATTTTTAGTCATTGGGTCGTGTTTCTATTTCGGGTTCTGTTCGATAGCGTAAGGTCTTGTATCGTTGTTTGATACTTGAAATTTTTTGGCAGGAAGTAGAATTTTTCGAGCTACGCGAGGTTCTACACTGTAAGTTTCTGATAGTTACAGACTTTTGTGTTTAATATAGTAAGGAGGTTTGATCCATTTGCATCCCGAATCTAGTAGCTGGAAATAACGTCGACTCCTACTGATCGGATCATGTTTCAATTCTCGACATTTTGTTTTGAGATTTCGGATCCCAGATTAGGTCTTTCTCAGGTTTAGGCATTGATTAGATTTGGAGTTTTGAAGATCATTTCTGTGTCAGATATATAAGTCTTCAATGTCTTTCTTGTGTTGTTGATTTAATTTCAAAGGTTCAATTTTGATGCAGGCATTCTACATACTATTGTCTTTCACCGAGCACTTGGTCTTATCCGTCCTAAAGATATTGATTTGGAGCTTTTTGAGATCACATACGTAATATCGAATATCTTTTTAGATTGCAACATGTTTTGCTTCCTTGATATAAATTCTTATAGGATTGGTGGGTTTTTCCTTTTCCCCATATGCCACAGGTACAATGCGGTGAAATAGAAGTGGAAAAGAAAATTGATGAAAAGATTGAGCAGTTCATAAGCTGGATTGAGAAACATCCCAACAAGAAAAGTCAGGTATTTGCTATATTATAATTTCCACTTTAACATGAAAGTGTAGCGGGACACTTCCATTCTAGTACTCGTATCATACGTGCTCAAACAAGTATTGCAAGTTTTTGCTGCATATAGATATAGGCTACTTTAGCTTATCATATATGTTTTTTAATGTGTTTGTCACTGCCTCTATCCTTTGTGGCTGTTAATGATCTTTCTTTCTTCTTTTTATTTTTTGGGGCGTGTGTTATTGCCAAGATATGTCTATCATTTTATGAAGTCAAAAGCAAACAGCCGTCTTGGTTCACCAACAAAATCGAACGATTGTACTGGGAACAATGGTACATCAATCTGAATGTGCTTCAGCCCACTAAATCCCCAATTGGCAAGTCCCACCATTCTAAACTAGTTATGGACCCTGGAGGTAAGATTGATAGATTCCTCCCCTCACCTCCAAAACCTACACCATTTTTGTTCTTATAAGAGTGGGAAGTGATTGTCATGTTCTAATCCAATGACTGTAGAGGCATCTGAGGAGAGAAGTTCCCGTAGGACACTCCTTGAGCAATCTCTTCAAGAAGTCTTATTCCAAATCATAAAATTCGTGAATGATAAAAAGGATCACGTTCCTCCCATCAACGATGGTGTAATCTACTGCCCTTTTGAGATCACTATCCCAAGGTACATCAGTCTCCATTTATTCACATGCCAAACTGTTTTCTAGGGATCTTACTTACAGATCATGGTGGAATGGACCTATAAGTGAAGACATAGATGAGTGAAGAACTTTCTTTTAATTTTTGTGGTCATGCTGTTGAATTGAATTAATTTTGTTTTTTCAGCTCATCAGACTCGGCATTTGGGATGGATATGATCAAGAGGATGCTCCACAGTGGCCATCCATCGATGCTCAGTTGATTCCATTATCCACTCAACTTAGGTACACTGTACATATACAACTTGATGTTGCTTGGTGCATGCCTAACTCTAATCAACACTTCCTATTTGCATTTTCTGTGTAAATATATATTACACGTGCCTCTTCCTTTGAATGGGGTCGTTGACTCGTTGATGGATAATGTTTGTTTTCTCTCTATTACGGATGGATACTGTAGTTAAGTGATCCTTTTTTATCCAAGCGAACAAATTTAAGTCTCCATCAGAAGCAAAAACAAGACATGTTTCTCTCTATTGTAGTTTTTTGTTCACAAGTAGCAATTGAAGTAAACCCAATTGACCCCAGAATAGAGATCACTAAACCAAAGGAAAGAAAAAGAGATAAAATGCATCGATATAGGCAGAAGCTCTTTTGATAGTCTAACTTGAGTAAACTCTCCAGTTATGGACCCTAAACCCAAAAAAAAAAAAAAACCTGAACCAAAATTGTTAGCTATCCGATGGGATTAAACCGGCGCAATCAGACGGCATTATCGGAAGAGAATGAGTTCTCATTTCGAAACCGAGAGACTTGTAGGCTTTGGTGGTTTGAAAGGTTGCAGCTTTCGGGGAGAGTAAGCCATTGAGTTTGTTTACTTTTACGGCGAAAAATGGTGAAGTCAATTCTCCTACGAATCTAATCCCACTCATTTAATTCGTGAACAAACCCATTATATCAGTGAAGAATTGTCATTATCTGTTTACGCAGGCTTGCATTTCCTTAAAAGTGGACTGTTGTTTTCGAAGGTTGAGTGATTGACATTAAACCAAAAACAAACAAACAAACGATTCTCTGATTTGTAGTTTCGTTCACAAGTAACCTAACTAAATAACCAGACACAACTAAATGAGATCACTAAACTGAAAGTTAAAGAGAAGAAACTGAAAGAAGAAAAATTTGAAACCCTCCGATTGAGGCAGAGAGGCTGGTATGATAGTGGTCTCACGCTAAGTAGTCTCCAGACACGAACCCGGCTTTGCTCTCTGGACCTTCAAACTGCCACGTGGCTTGTATTGGTGTCACGTGGCTCGCTGCAACTGTTGTCGCATCCGTAGCGCCGGTTGAAAACGGCCAGACCGTTATTCCCTGCCCAAATCTGACGTCATCGAAGTACGACCCGTGACAAAGCCCAAGTCCAAACCCGTCTGGCCCATTAAAACAACCACCAGGCCCATTTCTGCTCGCGGCGGCGCTGTAGTTGAGCAAAGAGGTGAAACCGCCGTAGAGCGACGACGCACTTCCCTTCGCCGCCGTGATAGCACCACCGCTGGACGATTGAGGGAAAAGAATAGGCGTCGCTTGTAACGGAAAATTCCGGCTTCCGGCGGCGGTGGAAGCAGCGACGGGAGAGCAAGTTCGGGAGCGTTTGGAGCTTTTGCGGGAAACACCACCGACGGGAATGTCACGGAGAGTACCTCCGTGAGTCCAGTAACGGCGACAAGACTTGCAGAAATGGCGTGGCTGTGAGAAATTGTAGTTGTTGTAGTAACAGAACTTGGTGTTGGTTGAATCGCAGCGAGGACAAGGAAGCTGCTCTTGCTGATCCGCCGGAATCGCCACCGCTCCACCGTGAGGAATCTTAGTTAGTCGACGCGATTCGTTGAAATCAGAAGGCATTTTGAAGATAGGGGAGCGAAAGTAGATATATATATATATATATATAATAAAGCTTTGTGTGTTTTATTTTAAAGGTTTGAGCTTTCTGAGAGAGTAATAAGGTTCCTTTTATGGAGAAGAGTGAGAGCAATAGATGGGGAAGGAGAAAGAAAGTAAAGCTTTTTGACAGAGTGTGTTGGGTTTATTGTGAACATAGAGAGAGAAAGAGAGAAAGAGAGAAAGAGAGAAAGAGAGAAAGAGATAGAGAGAGATGCTCTGTTTTCTTTCTCCTTGATACATTCTCTCTCTTTACTTCATGATACGTAGGTGGCTCTTGTTTCAAGATTTTCTGTTTTAAAAAATACAAATTATACTACTATGAAAAACTACACAATTCTTTAATCTATAACCATAAATTGTCACAGTTTGGCACGTAAGGAGCAATTTAAAATAAGATAAAATATCAGACATAAGTGATGATTGATTGATTGTAAGAACAAACAAATCCAAAGACGCATTCTGATAACCACATGAATCATTTGCTGTTGGAAGCTTAATTAATTATGTTGTTAGCTTGCATGCAGTTATTAACTTTTTGAGTAAGGCGTTGGATAACAAAAATATTTTTAAAACTTGTTGATGAAAATTGGGGAATAAATATAGTCATATAGATGTGATTGGAAAAATACGTGTCCATGGGAAGTGAAGTCTAACGAGAGTAGGCAGCAACAGGCAAAAGGTAGGAGGAGATTATTGAGCTTAACAAGGTAATGCAGTTCCCAATGATTCAACCATTATATTGTTAATTTAGTTACTTGTGATTATTACTGTCTTATTGAAAATATTGTTTGATAAAAAAAAAGAGATGATTATTGTTTTACTGAGACAACGTACTTGTGTCATCTTTTGCCGAAATGAAAAAATAGCATCTGGACCTTAGACATTGATGGTGGTGTGTTGCAGATGTGCTACCAATTACTACAGTAACTTAAATAGAATGCATGTAGGAGAATGAATGCGTCCAGCACTTCAAAATATTAATTTAAAATATCTTATTCAAAACAAAACAAAAAAATTAGATTACAATATTAAACCAACTTGACTATCAATTTTACGTTTTATGGTCTCATGCAGATTGAAGACTATGTTTGCTTTAAGAAGTCTTAAGACATCTTATCCTTCATAAATTGTATTTTTGCCTTGTTTAGGACGCCAGCCATAAAAAGAACGAAAAAACGGAAAACCCTAGAAAATACCATGAAGACACAATAATCGAATGAACTATGCCTAAACATGCTCTTGCGCAACAAGACAAATGGATCTTTAAGGTAGAGGGTTGAGAGGGAGGAGAATGACAAACGTGATTTGTCCCAAACGGAAGAATAAGGTCAAAATTGTAAATTGGGGGCTAAAACGGTCAAAAGAGACAGAAGAGATTCGTTTTGTGAAGAGACAGAAACAAGCGAAGCCTGTCGGATAAAGAGTGGATATGGAGAGGAGGAATTAAGAAGCATGCAAATCTTCACACCAAAAGCAATGAACATATTAGAGAGAGAGAGAGAGACATGTGAGAAGTGTGTGAAGACGTGTCTACTGGTTCAGAGCCGTCCTTTCTCTGTGTACCGACCGGTCTAATCTGGTCAAGCTCTGACACACTCACTCTCTCTTCCTCTCTCTCTTTATCCCATTCTTTTTGTCATTTTCCTCTCTTAGTCTGAGTCCTCATCTGTTTCCTTTGAAGGGGGTGTTTTCGTCACACTATATAATGGGCCTGCGCTTATAGGAAACAGATGGCATAATGGGCTTGACATATTAGAATTGGGTTTGGATGTGAATTATGCATCCATTGCTTACTTGCTTTCTTAGTTTCCTTCACAAAATAATATATATTTTCTTCTTTTTTTGTGGTTTTTGGGCTATCACAAAAGAATATCTAAGATCTTATTTCCACCATCCAAAACACAGATAAATCATACATCATACATATATATGCATACTCATATGTATAACATAGTTTCTTTCTACATATCATTCTTAAAGCTCTTCCACATACACGTGAAAGTGAATTGATTTCTCGCAATTTAATAACCCAGTCTTATATAGTATATGATATAAGACGTAGAGTGGCCCGTACAGTTTTAAAAAAATTTCGTTGTATTGCAACGGAGAAGATAACCGAATTTAAGGATGACATCCCAACACTGGGCAGAAGACAAAACCATTTTGAGGATTGAAGACAAACAAATAGTTAATGGAAAGGAGTGATTTTCTTGTTACATTTCGAGCTTTTAAATAATTCGAACGAGACTTTTTCTACCAACAAAACTATATAAATATGAAAGATTTGATACTTGTAACTTGTAAGTTATCACATGCAAGTATAAAAATTAAAATCCTCAAGTTAAGTCTTATAGGATGACCTAATACGTGTACTGCCGGACTTGGTAATGGTCCATCCATTAGTTACAATCCATTAGTTACAAGTTACAACTTACAATTTACAAGAAAAAATAACGCATTGTTGAGCTAATATTCTCCCTCTCCTTTCTTGGTGCTATTTAATCTTTAATAAATATGTTTATATCCGTTCCAACCTTACGCCTTTTTAATATATCAATAGGTGCGATTTAATTGTAATAAAAATGATATGAAATCTGACATGACAGTATAAGAAAACATGCAATAATCGTACTTTATTATAAGGGCCTAAATGTAAGGCTTTTATGTTGTGTTTGTGCATGCTTCACCAAACATCCCATTATGAAAGATATTCAAAGCTGAAAATAACTTTACTGATGCATGGTCATATAAACCACGATCTGTGTCCCATTTCGAAAGTGAAAACTTGGTCATCATTATAATAGTAAAAGTTGCCAATTAGGAAAATAAAGATCAGGTAAATAAATGTGAAACAATAATTATCAGCAGAAAAAGGAGAGACAGCAATTACAATAAAACATATTAATAAGATAAATAAACTCTCTGCTTTTATCTATGAGATTTCGTAGGTATTGGATCAACGATAAGTGGAGTACATTATAGACTCGATGGGGACCAAGAACAAGGGAACTACGTTCAAACGAAGTCCAAATGGGAATATCAACGAATTGTTTCGGAACAAAAGATCTTGAGCCAAAACATATTTACATCCCTACTCATGAAATTGGGTGCGACGTGACGCGTGCGTCTCCACTTGCGTTGTTTTATTTCCACGGTCGGAGAAGTGAGCGTTAGATTTCCATCTGTGTAATTTTTTGTTGTCTCTATATGTATGTGTTTATTATTATAACTATGCACACAGTCAATAGAAGAATTTTTAAAAATGATTAATGAGAAAATCATATAAGAAAAATAATTAGTAAAAAGAATATGGAACCGATGAGTTGCCCATGAAAAGTCACTTTTGGAAAAAGTTTGAGTAGTCAAAATGAAATGATTTGAGCAAGGGTGAATTTATAATTATATATACATAGTTGACTAATCATTACTTAAGCATTTTGGATTTGGTACCATTAAGCTATGCTTCTCTACACGTTTGTCTCTGCCTCCAATTCTACCATTCATTTACTTAATTTTTGTTTAGATTTGCATAAATTTCTAAGTATCCCTACAATACAAGTTACAGTATTATAGATTAAGTAAAACTTTGCGTGACCCGTTGGTAAAATAATAATTACGAAGTGTTAATTGTGGAAAAATAACATGTACTGCATGATATAATCGTATGATTTTTATCAGTAGAAAATGACAGGATTTTCGGTAACAGACTAGTATTCTTATAGGATAAAATCAAATATTGAATTTACAGTAACATGACTATTTTTAACTCTCTTTTTTGTGTGCGTGGATCCACATGTTACAGTTAGTGATATTAAATTACTCTATTGTTGAGCCCCCACATCACCTACTAATATTTAATTTTATATATACATACTCCTGTTTTTTTTTTAAAACATATTTTTGTTCACTTTTATGAGCTAATGTACTGTTATAACTACAACCAATAAATGCGTGGGTTGGATCATAAATTAGGATATTTATTAGAGCCCTTATTTATTATTTACTTGTTCAAAACCGTTTCAGACAGATATAGAAGAAGATTGGTGAGGTAGACGAATTACGTAAATCGAGTTCTTTCGACAAATATACCAAAAAAGACTAAAATCTAAAATCCAGGAAATAATATCTGAACGGCTTAGTTCATTATCTCTTACGGAGTGTAGCTACAAAAAATACAGCCAAGTTTTTTTTTGTCAACAACAAACAGCTAAGTTATATAAGAGTATATATATTTTTTCATAAATTAATGAGATGTAAGTGTATCACCAAATATTTGACAAATGATTTTGAAATTTCTCTGCTTGAGGTGTAAGAAAGAGAGATAAAGAGATTTAACATCATAAAATAAAATAAAAAAAGAAAAAGCGAGGATCTTTAGTCAGTTGTATAGTGAGAAGAGCCAGCTATTCAAGGTATCTTTGGCTAAAAAGGATTTGAGAGCTTCAAAACAATGGAGAAAAAACAGTAAAGAAAAAGAGAAAAGAAGGAAGCTTTCATGGGTCCCTGAATAACTAATCACCAAAGATATCAAAATCGAATTATAAATTCAAATAATCATAATATGCTGCGTGGATTGATTGAATTAAAAAAAGGGAAAAAATGACATTTGGAATTGGAACAGCAAGTAACAGCAAAGATTAGGCATTTGATTGATATAAAAAAAGTCAAATGGCATTTTAGTCACTATTTTCGATTTAAGAGAAGACTATTACGAGAGACAAGAGAGATTTTGTAGAAACGGACGCTCTGTATTGATGGTTTAATGGTTACTTTGACGTGAAAGGAGTTAATTTCTCTTGAAGTAGAGCACAAGGTGGGTGAGACGAAGAACAGGAAGCTTCTTCTTCTGTGTGTCTCAGATTTTAAACACAAAGATTTTCTTTTCAGTTTTTTCGTTCACTCCATTAGAGTTCTGTTTATGGATCTGTTCTTCTGGTTTTTGGGATTTGCGTCTCCTCTCTTTTGACTCTTTCTCGTTTTCTCTGTTCAAGATGGGACAAAGGTTTTGACTTTTTGGTCC